GGGAAAAGTTTAAAAAAAACAACCATTCTTATCCATTAAAAAAAAAAAAAAAAAAAAAAAAAAAAAACAAGGTAGGGCGGAAAGCGCACCTGTCCCTTCCCTACGGGACATATTGCTAGTTTATTACATTATATACGTGTAATGGTTTTAAAGAAAATATTGAGTCTCTTAAATTCTGCTGTTTTGGTAAAAAAAAAAATCATCACTGAAAAATGACACGATCAAATCTGGGTCACCGAGTTCTGCCATTGATTTTTTTTCTTATCAGCCAATGAACCAGACTAATGGTCTTGAGTTGCCGAACGAGCAGAATTTAAAGTTTTGTACAAGAATGATCTACATTTGTCTTACTTTGACAAGAATGGATGCCATCCCCTTCGAAGCCCCGGTTGCATTGGCATCTGAACGACCCTGGTGTGTTGACGCAACGTCCCAAGCTGTGACAGTTGACCGCAGGTAGCAACGAAAGGTCGACCACCAGCAGGGGATCAAACAGTGAGCTCTCACTATTCGATGAACTTTCCTCCGACGGCTCCCAGCTATCATTCTCATCATTGGAACCAAGGAGACCAGCGTAAAAACATTCGTCGATGTCTGCATTGAGCGTGGCGTAGGAAACAGGTTTAAACTTGTGTAACACGAACTTGGGCATTGCCTGGAGAAGATGGGGTGCTCCCCCACCTCTACCTCCACCCCCACCCCCGAAAGAAAATGAAGAATTAAAACGGGAAAAGAAATGTAAAAACAGGGATGAGAGGAGTAAAAATCAATCTGTTTGAAAACACGAGGAAATTTGCTCACCCCTTCCACTGTGGGTTGTTAGTTCATTGATGATAATGCTTTGCCCCATTCTCCCACGGAAATCCCCCTCCCCCTCGGTGTGAGAATCTTTCCCCCAGCTGGAGACAGCGGGACGTGTACCATTTTTCTTCTTTTTGAGGGATATATTAGTACCAGAATTTCAGACATGTAATGAATTCTGATTCATCACTATAAAAGGAACGTTAAAGGGTCTCTACTGCGCATGTCACCGGTATGTCTTTCCCGAATAAACTTGTTATCCTAATTTTAAGAATAGTGCTTACAATTACCTCCTGGCCATACTTTTTCATTCGTGCAACAGTAATGACTATCGACTTGCGTTATTTTCGTGATTTATCGGAAACAAACAAGACGCACATGAATGGGATGCCAAGCCGGCGTGAGGTAGGCCAATAGGGTAAACCCACATATGATGAATCATTATCTTCAAAAGTTAAAAATGTTTGCACTTCCTGCCCCAGAGGAATGTCTGGACCTAAACGAGGAGAATTGTGATCTCGAAAGGAATACCTTCACAGACGGGAGCCCGTCTGTCGAATGTCATTGTCGAATCGTCGCATCGCCGCAGTTTGGCGCCTCGCCTCCCGTAGCCTGGCTCACACCGGGCTTCGATGACATGGTTGGGCTTGACGCGTCTGCCACGCAGGCGTCTCTCGCCGGCGGTGATGTCGATGTAGTAGCCATTCTCTAACGGCTTCGATAGAAGACACGCTGGAGATTCCAGAGCGACCAAGTCACAGGGAGAAATAATTATTGTTCTCGTTATCTCATTGAACTCAACCTCGCCTCCAAAGCACTGGGGAGATATTCATGGCAAATTTGTAGTTTAAATGGCTTCAACACTTTTCAAACACTTCGCTTTTGGGCGGATCGAAGGGAAGGACAGGAGCCCCAAAAGCTTCTTCCTTTTTTCAGGACTAGTTTTCCTCTTCTCTTCAAGACATGCAGAAAGTTTCTGTGTGAATTTAGACTGGAAATTCACGAAGACCATGATGAAACTTAAGATTAAAAACTCAAGTTTTTCCCCAAAACACAGAAGTCCGAAATCTTTATTTTCTGCGGTTTCAGTACACTCACCTCCGCTTTTAGACGGTCGTTGCCGATCAATGGTCCCTCCGCAGGCCTTGCTGATCCCAACAAGCAACACTACCCCGACGACCAAGCGGGTAGCTAAACCGGTACCGGCCATCGTATTGATAGGCCCCAATGTCCACCGAGCACGGAGGGAGAGAAACACGTCTGTGCTGAGGGTGAACTAATATTTGTTTGCTACCCCTTCTGAGATGTCCAAGTACGAACAAATGGATCCCGGCATGCAGCGTGTTTTCCTTAACACTTAGCACATTGACAAATGGTGCTTGCTGGTAGTAGAGGTTGAACACTAACCTTAAGCTTCCACGATACTATAAATATTCCAGTGGGTATAGGGATGAATCTATTCTTACGTGTACATGTAGATTAGCTAATTATTTTTGTCCTTAATTTCATATAAGTTAACTTTTTTCGGGTGTAGGTTTTTATCTTATTTATTTATATTCTATACATTTGCAAAAGAGTTAAATGCCATTTACTTAACTGCATTGGATTTCGCGGGTTTTCTTTTCGATTATGATTATTTTACTTGGGAAAGTCCAGACCGAATTTTTGCAGAGGGAGTGGGTATGTTAACACGAACAGCACCAGCGCTGATCGCGAAGGCAGGTGACGGTCGATCCTGCTAAACTTTCGCCGAATGAACTTTCTGTTGTGGTTTCCGCTGGCGCTGCAGCTTCCACCCACCAGGGAAATAAACACGGATATGTTTGTTTGAATTCTTGTTAGAAGAAAAACCACAGACCACGCAGATGCCAAGGGGCCAAGGGACCCTGATCCCGGATCTGGGAACTTTCACTTCGGCTTGATGAGCGGTGCGTGTTCGTCTGAAGCCGGCCTTCTAGAAGGTATATCACTGGCAAGTTGCCACCGCACTGACAAGAATCACAGGACACAGATTTCGTAATATCACACCACCGAGTTTGGAATGTTCAGTTTGTGAAGATCCCATTGTGAACCAGTGTGCCTCCACTACAATCAACTATCTCCAATGGAATGTTGAATGCTTGCTGCATGAAACACAGTGACATTTCATAGCTGTAAATGCTTCGCCTCACTCATAACGCACGTTTTGTTAGCTCTTTCCATTGGCACACTAGGAAAGCGCAGATAGAATAGAAATTGAACAAAAAGTAATCACTGTCAGGCGTTCCTCGGCAAGTGTCTTTAGGAAAGTGGTTTATTTTTATTCGGTTGTGTGTCTGGATGGATTTTAGGGCTAAAGGTCTCAGTAAATGGGATATTCCGCTAAGCTGTACCAGATGACAGGATTTTCAGGCTACAAGGTGTCAGGCCCAATTAATATGATTACCTTGTGCTTTTTTATAATTCCCGAACACTCGCCTTTGACATGTACTTGGGAGTTCAAATGTTTTCTGGCATATAGGTCATATGAGTCCCGTGATGGGGTTGGCAGTGGGAAGGTTTACCCCAATGAAATCACAAAATCATGTGTGCACCATCAGTGGCTCAGTGTCCATCCAGGGGAGGGGACGGAGGACAGGGGGGAAGTTGACCCTTTGGAGACCAGTTGCCTTTTGGGGGAGGGTTGAAAGCGCTTACACTTTAGACAGGGTACCAACACCTGTTGGGGGATTCTTTTAACGGATGGAAATGGACCGTCACTCCCCCCCCCCCAGCCCAAAACCAGACACACTGATTTTCACTGTTGTGTCATTCAGCTTCTTTTTATATCAATGCACAGAGGGCACTGTAGAAATATAAGGAAGACCAAATGATGAGGAAACTCATCAGCTTTCAATGGTGTTACTTATTAGCAGTGATTATATGGGAAAATCTGAGCTTTAAATTTACATTTTTGCGGCCGGGTTTGCTAGAATTTTGCCCCTTTAACCTCTTTTGACTTTATTTAACATTTTTCAGTACGTAATGGGGAAACGACCTGAAAAGATTCCGAAGTTTTCGCCTATAGTTCGAGAAAATGTCGTAGAGAATTTGAATTTTGCTTATTTTCTTATACCAAGTAAAGTTATGCTAAACTCAATGTTTTCTGTGGTTGCATAGCTCACATTTTCACGGAATAAGTGTCACAGTTTGGTTTTCTAATGAGAAATCAGCTGCGTGCTGATCGCTATCTTTAATGCACAATCATAAAGCTGTTTCCGGGTCAAAAACAAAACCTCTAACATTCAGGCATCGAAACGGCCGCGAAGCTGCGCAGTTCAGTCAAGTGTGAGCACACAAGTAAGAGCGAGCCCACACGAGGATGGCGGACAAAATGCTTTTTGCACCGCTGCTGTTTCTCATCGTGTTAATATGGCCCACGATCATCATTCCAGTAACTAGCAATGAAGGTAAGAGACCAACATTTACGATGAATTGGGATATGTTGATCTTTGTAGAGGCGAATTACAAAAATAAAGAGATTTCAGCGGACACATAAGTCTCGTGTCGACCGCGACCAGTGGTTGAGCGGTGTCAGTGTGAAGAAACGATGTTGTGTAGGCCAAGAATATACATGTACATGTAGGTATAACGTTGTCACCTGATAACAGGCGCGGTTCTAGAGCCATTTTTTTTTAGTGTGGGTGTGTGAGGGGTGTATCTAGACCATTCGCACGTGACGTCACCTTGTAACTTTCACTACTGCTCTTTGATAATTGACTATTCTTTCAACTGAGAAACAACAAATGCAGAATTGCGAGTCCAATATTTTAGAGTTTTTTTAATTAAATGTTATTTTTGCATGGGGGGTAGACAAAAGTTATTTTTGGAGGGGGCTAAAACCCTGGTCCCCATGATAACCGCGTCTGGCTACAGTTGTCGCCGGTTGCACCAAGAAAATAGTTTCCATCCACAAATTTCCCATTTGGGGATTAAAAAAAAAGAATTCTCCATAATGGACCTTTGTCTCCATTCCTTTCCTCCGAGTACCCTTGATCCGAAACTGGCACTTTCCCATCCAGCGCCCAAATGCATAGGTCTTGGGGATTCAGTTGGACGACCACGTGCGTGATTTTTAATAAGTCTCACTTTTGGCTGGTTGTTTTGCCCCTTTGGGATTTTTGCCAGATCATTGTGTTTGTTATTCCATAATTCCTTTTTTCGGAGACCCTATGCGACCCTTCGCTGTTTCTTCTGAACTGGTCATTTAATGATGTCACTAAAATTGTTCCCCGTGGTTGAGTCGTGTCCACCTCCATTTAAGGCTCCTCCTTGAGTTGCTCAGGCTGGGCGTCCCCCTGTTGTAAAATGCTGGAGCCGAAACACGTTTTTTTTTCCTCCAGAAGCGTTTTGCTGGCAGCGTAAAGAAAGTTAAATCTTTCAAACGTCACATCTTGTATGAATGACTTACTGTATTGTTTTAATTAAACGAGATAATACGTTGTGTACACGATTTTTTAAAACGTTGGCAGCGATATGCCTCTGTAAGGACAATGTATCTCCTAAAAACGGTATTTTTCCCACAGAACAACAGAAATATCGTAAAACGAAATAAAAAAAATGTTTTTTCTCCTAAAATTTCGAACTTTGGAAAAATGCATCTGGTCAAAATAAATGTGTATCTTGTAAACAAATTTGACAATTTGGGGAATTCACACATTTTTTCAAAGTGTTACTGGAGCAACTTCTAATTGTAGAGAGGATGCGTACATTTCAAAATTTCAAATGATCCAGAAGGAGGCTACCTGGGTCAGAGATTACTGCTGGGAAGCCCCCCCCCCCCGCCCATTAATACCATTGCGTGAATTGTAAGCCTAGGGTCTATTTGTTCAATATAACTGCAAATGGTTCAACTTCCTTGCGCCTACCAGTCTCGTTTTTTTTTCTGTAGAAGAACGAACATGTATTTTTGTGAAACGCTGTAGACGGTCGCTGCTTTCTGATCAGGTATATCTGGTTCAGACGAAAATGGGATTTGGAAACCCAAAGTTGAAGTCTCACCTAAGTTGCACGTCCAAGAAAGCGAGGTTAGAGGTTAGATGTACCGATGCATAAAGAGAACCTTGATTTTGTTACTCCCCATAGAGCTATTAAAATAATGATAGCTCTATGTTACTATCCTATACACTTGTACCACAGAGCTTTAGCTCTCCGAATTAGACTTGTGTGTCTTGGACTTGTGTATTAGGTCTGTGGATTCACAACATGGAAAATGCAAACTTCAATACCGCCCTCTCTAGGTTAGTCAAGTATGGTACCAAGACTGCAAGAACCATGTTTGAAACGTTCTTTCAAAACTTTTAGTCGGCCAATTTGCCGCGTGATTTAAATCAACTACTAACCAGCATTTAGTAGCTGTGCATGCTACACGATCGTGCAGGTAGGAGCTACGGTGCCGGTACCACTTAGCAGACTATCAGACTGTAATTCTGCATCGGTATCACGGCCACAAATGTCATATTCACTGAAACTTGGAACATTGTCGCCTAATCAAGTTCAGTGGATCACGAGTCACCAATACTAAAAGGTCGGGCTTCACAAGTTTCCGAGCATATAAGCTCAAACAATGAAACACGCAAACAGAAATTAACTGTAAATACATATATAGTTATACATTATGTATGATGTAGGGCCTACATGTATGTATAAAACGCGGCGCACAGCCATGATGATCATGATGAGTCTATTTGAACACAAAATTTGCTAAATTTTGTGACCATTTTTCAAAACCATCATGATTTTGTGACATGTTTAAACGGAGCTCTGAAGTGCGAGTCTAGTGCTTCGGAATCACCTACATGCAGTATGCATGAGTGTATTCCTTTGGTTGCTGTAGGCACAGATATGACGGATTAGTACATGTAGGCCTACATGTACTTTGGCTGCTACATGTATATTATTTTGAATGCCAAGTAACCACATATAGGTCTTGGCCGATCAGGGTATTGAATCTATCGATGAACAGTACAGTGTGTACATACTGTATACAATCATTTGTAGTGCACCTCCACAAGGAGTATTAAAATAAATGTACATACAATATTCCATTCACACTCATGACACTGGTCATTTGAATTTTGATTGGGTCAACTCGTACATGTATTTACCAAGGTCAAATTGCACCCAGGTTAACTCACACCCCAGTCAGCTCGATTCATTTTACTGTTGTGCTCCATGTCTTTTAGCCTGTGTGTATGATAATGCTGTTGCCACACTGACTGGACGGAGTTGTAGAAACCGACGTTGTACCATTGAGGAGAATAACTGCAGGGGCAACAGGGAATGTCTGTGTGATGGAGCATGTGGTTACCGTTGCATCAGCACCATAGGTAAGTTCATACATATGCAGTAGTTGCTTTGGATCCTCTCTGCCTCGAACAGAAGCACCCCTCATCGGTTGAAAAGGGCCACGTTGGTCGGGAGTCTTCATTTAGTTGGTCGCGACTTGAGGACTGTAGGCCTAACACATGCAATTTATAGTCATTTATGAACCAGTGAAGTGCAGTCCTGACCAAGGGAGCCTGTGTTGGTAGGAAAGTTGTGCCCTCTCTTGGTCCAGCTCGAGGCCTATAATCTGAAGCTACATTATGTATGTGTCTCATGGTTCTATCAAAGGGTATTTTGGGTAAGAGTTCCATTTACGGACATCACATACATGTACATGTATGTTTCCTCACAGTGCTTTACATAAGCCGTCAGAAAGTGATTACATGTCCCAAAAAAGTCAATTTAGCAGTGAAAATATTGACGTGTTTACTTACATGGACATGTTGAAAACACTTAAGACTTGTGTCATCAGGTTTGTGCACAGGGTGTCAAGTGATGTAAGTATAGTATACCGTACATGTATTTTGTACGGTAGAATTCTTTCAGATTTTTAAAGTACCGTATACATGTACATGGGTCTCAAGTACATGCAAACTTATCTGTTTTCACACTTAGCATATGAAAGGATATTTTGACATTTGGCTTTTCCATATATTCTTTGGCAAAACTTATGTCATTTGTGACTGAAAACCTAACCGTTACAGTGATTTTGGCACAGAAAGCTGCACGTTTTTGGCATAGGGTCATCAATTTCCTTCTCTTGATTGGGTCATGATGTGATGCACATGTGCCATAGTAATGAACTAATGAGCAGCCGTTTTTTACAATGATTTCAGTGAGCAAATTTCGGATTTCAACCTGAACAGAAAAAATGTAAACAGAACAACGTCATGTCCTTACAGCAATGACCTCCAAATTTCATAAATTCACACCCTGAAATGATATCCTTAGAGCACCAATCACCAGCAGTGTTGTATTCAAGTCCATCACAAGTCCCTGTAAGTCCATCACAAGTCCCTGTAAGTCCATCACAAGTCCCTGTAAGTCCATCACAAGTTATTCAGTCAATAAGCCAATTCAGAAGCTATTCAGATGAGCTGTAACTAAAGCATTGTTTTGTCTTTGTTCGCCCTGTTACTCTTGACTGACCTTGTAAGGGGACTTTTGAAAGGATATATGGTGGACTAGAATACTACCTGTCATCTAGAGTGCTCTATTTTGCACCCTGAAATGATATTAAAGGAACACGGTAATTGTACTTGTAGCCTTGTAACTATTTTCTTTTTTGTTTTTTGTTTTTTTTAAAGAAAGAAAGAGTTCTTTTCCCCGCTATGAATGTGGACCTGTTTTGTTGCGATAGTTTCTTACTGCAGGGAGCTTGAGCCCCCTGTGAATGGATCCATCGAATACTTGGACGGAAATCGCGCCTTTGGCGCCAGGGCTGCTTACGAGTGCGATCACGGCTACCTGCTGTCTGGCGAGGACGAAGTACGGACATGCCTGGGTGAGAGGGAATGGAGTGCTGGCGAAACTCCACGGTGCATATCTCAAGGTAATGAAGCTATCCAGTATTGTCACTTTGTCCAGGGTATTAAGGAGGGAAGTGTTCTCATACCTTGTCAGCATTTTGATCTATCAAAATGATCAAATCCATGAACCAAGGGAGCTGTCATGTAAAGATTGAAACCCTAACCTGTCAAGACACAGCATAATGCATCAGGTGGAAAAGCCTGTTGCACTTTACAATCAACAGTGGCCGAACTACCAGGAACTCTCCATGTTGACACGATGACAACTCTCAGCTCAGAGCGGTAAAAAAGAGAGGGCGTGTAATGAAAAAACCCCTTAAGTGTTAAAGCATGTACATCGAAAGTGCACTTCTGTTGCATGTAAACATTTAAAATAACCCGTACTTTACCAGAGGACGGAGGGCTCTGTTGCTGTGATGTCATTCAGGAAGGCACTGTTCAGATCCTTATATTTTTATGTTTGCATCTTTTTCTGTTCAACTGGTGAAGCCAATGAAAACATCTCTGAGAAAGAGCTGCTGTTCTTGTTGACCCTGTTATACACAACAGTGAAACACCAAGTAAATGTACTTGTACATGTAGGTCAGCAAAATGTTTTTAAAAAGTCTGCCAGTCACTGAATTTTCTGCTAGGAATGATGCCACAGTTTTCCCATTTTTGGGCACAAAAACAGAAAAGGTCACAAAGTATGATTGGAATATAGGTACATGTATACAGAACTCAAAGTTGCACTTTTTAGATTTGCGTTTTAATGAACTCCAAATTTTGTTCATTTGAGCTTCTTTTGTTGACTCTTTTTGCTGCGGTTGGATGGGTGCATGGGTACAGGAGAACTATGTCCCCGTCGGGAAGGTGTAGACAGAGAGTGTCAACAATCATGCACCAGACGAAAGGATTGCCTCAACAAACATGAGGAGGGTTGCTTGTGTGATGGTGACTGCGGTATGAGCTGTCTAAGAGTCTGTAAGTCTCACAAATGGAACCTGACCAGTTATTGTTTTATCTTAGCCCGTTGTTAGACGGGGATGCGATCTCTGTACCGGTAGATATTGTAGCTACACCTTGGCACGAATCCCCCTCCCCAGTACCACATCCTTGTACGTGAACCATGCCTCACTTGCTCACAAAAATTGCCTCTTGATGTCCGAGTGACACCAACCTTTGGCCATTAGAGCAGACCTGTTTTTCTCACCATCCTCATTTCAACTCAAGTTTTAGATTTTTAACCCTGAGAACATCCTAAAAGAGCCAGACATTTTCATTGATATCATTGCAGTGCAGGTGACAGTTTGGTCACACATCGTTGGAAAAAGTTAAAGGACTAGTATTCAAACAAGAAATTTCTTTTAGTACATAATATAATACCCTATCCTTTAAGAAATGAAAAAAAAACAATAATGCTAGCCTTTTATATGTTATGTTCAAATAAAGTGCCCATTAAAATGGGTACCAAAATTCAATCAGTTTAACCAAGAAAGTGAGTTTTGTTTTTTCACCAGAAAACACACTTGACTATTTTCCTTCCCATTGGCACACCATTCAAATAAAATGTTTTCGTGTTCTCTCTACTAGACAGATACTGCATTGATCTAATACTGTAAACCTTCTGAAGACTTGTTAAATTTCCATTTTTTTTTATCTTTGTCCACTTCTTCATGGAATTGCACAAAAGGGGAAATCCACAAACTCGCTGTAAAATCTCACCAAGCTATCTAAACACCAAATAATGTAGGATATACTGTACAGTTGGGGCAAAACATTTACATCCATTTGATAGAAACACAGTTTTCCTCAAGTTTTTGCTGTTTGAAATACCTTTGCCAACTTTTTCCTTACGAGGTCAGACAAACTGTATCTCAGCTTAATGTTCATAGTGTGTACTTCAATTAAAAATACTCAGAGACATTTATTATGGTTCAAAATATTAATATTGCAAAAAAATCATTTAGGGAAAATAGGGTGAATTTAAGTCCATTTTGTCATTTAAAAACACTTCAGAAAGTGGTCCACAGGGACTATGTGATGTAACAAAAAACACAAAGAGTGGCGCTATATAAAATTATGATTTTCTTTTGTAATGAATCCTGTCCGTGGGTGTTCAAATTTATTGGGTGTTTATTTGATGCATACACCATGTACATGTGTACATTACACTGTAAGTAGAGACCCATCTTGTCTCTTCTCATGAAAAAAAAAGTTGGTAGGAATGAGTGAAGCTGAGAAATTCAAGGAAGAATGTTTCATTCCACCAGATGTACATGTATGTAAATATTTTGCCCCAACTGTACCGCTACATGTACCAAATATACTAAATTAAGGTCCTTTTTTAACACTAATTGGTAAGGTAGTATGAACTTGCAGGCAAAACCTGTTACTAGTACCGATCAAGGGTAATCTTTCTGCGAGACACTTTGGCTGCCTGTTAATGTTGCGCTTTGGGTAGAGTCAAACAGGCCACACCAGCCCAAAACAGTATGTTACATGTAGATGTAAACCTAATCTGACCCGATACTGATTTGACCTGTAAAAATTCAACCCGAAACAACAGGTAGGTAAAACCAGTCCTGTAAATTTATCGGCGTGTGTGCCTAAACTCATCCTCGTTCTTTCTCATGAGATCATTGTGAGAATTCAGGAATGTTGCAATGTATTTCTTATACAGTCCTGGCTGGTGTGTTCTGAAGTGTTTCATACCTTGGGCAAAAACATATCTCGGACATGCATGTACCAGGCAGTGTGTTTCTGCAGTAATTACACACTGTATGTATATGAATGATCAAAATTTGACTAACCTCTTCGGTTGTTTTCTTTTGCTTTTGATGACAAACTGACCTGACCAAAAAGTTAGCAAAATGAAACTGATGGAAACCCCAACCTGACCTGACTAGGGCTGTGCCACATATCCGAATAACCGAACATTCGATCCATTATCGAATATTCAAATGTTATTTTCTGAATTTGAATATTCAAGTGCAAACTTCATGAAAGGGAAGGGAACATTTTCTTTAATTTTAAATGAGAAAAATTGCACAGTTGAGGCTTGTTTCGAGCAACTTTAAATAAAGTGGCAGAAATCTTTCAATGATTCAAAAAGTAAATTATTCATTGAACAATTTAAAAGGAATAGAAATTTTCAACTGTGCAAGAAGTATATTGCTCATCTCTTAAATCTTGCTAAATTGAGGCTGGAGATACGCCTAGATGTGAGAAGCTATTTTATTGATTACAATGTACAATTGTGTGAGTTATTGCAACAGATTTTGTATATGGTTTGTTCATCAGCAATTTGCCGGTTAGTTTGACCAAATATTCGGATATTCAATCAAATTGAAGGTCGAATAGTTGAGTAGTGAATTATTCGAATTGACTCAGTGCTAGACCTTACCCAAAGTTGCTGCTCCAGTTGTTTTTGCTTTCGGTTTGGGTATGCACAGCATCACTGCCCATGCACAATATACATGTACGTAGTGGTCAAAACGAAAATGTCCATTGGCCAACATGGAGATAGGAGTGTGCAACCTGTGTGTTGTGAGCATGGATTACTCATGTGTTCATTACTCCATTGTTTGATTTATATGTTTCCCAGTTGTTGATGAGTACTGCCCTCCAGTGGAACTGAGCGAGGGCGCCGTTGTCCTGTTCATGACAACCAAGAAAATCGTGTACCGGTCTAAGGTAATGTTGGGCTGTGAAAATCAATACAAGATAGCAGAAGGTAACGTGAATATCACCTGCTTGCTCAATCGAACCTGGAGTGGACGGCCTCTCCGCTGCACTCCCAAAGGTACATGTACTTTTGTGGCACTTCATAATTGCATTGCTAAAATAATAGTTTGTTGAATTGACCTGTTTATGAAGAATCACATCTGTGCAGCTTGTGAAATATTGTCAAATACATGTACATGATATATAAAATTGGCTAGGAATGTGCAGCATCTGAAACAAACAACAATCAGTGTGCAAAATTTGATAAGGTTGTTGAGGGGCGTGGCTAACTCACAAATGGCAATAGGTCACTAGCCACCTAGCATTGTTCTTCAGTGAACTCGCTTAGCATAATCGATGGATTTCATATGGTGGCTATCAATTTACATTTCCCAGTGTTTATAATGCAAATACCAACCATTTGTAGTAAAATAAACCACAGCTGCAGATGTTGGTGGCTGGGGGAGATTTACGTGAAGCTTTGGTTATGATAAAACTGATATACCAGACACACTGTACATTTTACATTCTTTTTACAATGTGTGTGTAGTCTTTTATCCAGCAGTACACAGTGTACACAGAGCTCACAAAGTTATATTGAAATAAGCATTGTTATAAAATATTTTAAAAGATTTAGCGAGAAAATACTGTTCACAGAAACCATTCAGAAAAAAGGGTTACTCTTCCATATGTTTCAACGCATAGCTCTCTCCCTTATTAAAAAATCAAATTGTAAGGCTGAAATACATACTGCATGTTTTTTTTATTACATGTACTTGTAAGTCTAGTGATCGAACTAGAAAGTGACACAGACTCCATTTCAATTTGCTTGTTTTTACTATGGAATATCTGTGGGTCGACAAAGACAATAAGAAATAAAAGCATCCAGGAGTGTTTTCTTCAAACCCATTTATTCAAATATACCACTTGACATTTCATGTTTAAAATGGATAGTACATGTACATGTGTATTTGCTTGCATCGTGTTTGAGGACACACTTTATGTACTCATATCTCGAACGAGGTTGGGTCTTTTCCATCTTTTGTGGCCTGGCAGTAAGCCATTTGCGAGTTAAATTTGAGTGAAATCTGATACACTAATTTTTTAAATTCATGTGAGCATAACAACTTGAATTATCCATACTAAAACTGCTGGTGCTATACCTTGTGATTCAGGGCAAGCTTTTGCTTAATAATTATATGTACATACATGTAAGAGACACCTTGCAACAATACACTGTTCTCAATGGAGAAGAACGGCACAAAGGAACCAGTCCTTCCAGATATGGTGGTCACTATGCAAAAGCTTGCCCTGAATCACAAAGTATAGCAGCAGTGTCTTTAGTCTGGTGAATTCAGATAACACAGTGTACCAGATTTTATTCAAATTTAACTTGCAAGTGGCTTATTGAAACTCTTGGTTGGGGTCTTTTAACAGCTTTATGTACCAGCCCACCGGTCATAGAGGGTGCCCGGCATGACAGCTGGGAACACCGATTCTACGCAGGCGACGAGCTGCTGTACACATGCAAGCCTGGTTACTACACCTATGGGCTTGGGCAGACAAGTACCTGCAGGGACGATGGGCAGTGGACAAACGTGACCTTGGAATGCTATCGTAAGTGCCAGTGTTTTAGTCGAGTCCTTCACAAAACCAAGCCTTGGCTGAACTGAGATAATCCTGGAACTGTATAAGTTAGGATACCATTCATTGAATCCACCTGATTTCAACATATACATGTATGTATAAGCTAGAGTGATGTTTGCACACAGGCACACAGCACACATAGGGGGTTTTGTATCATAAAAGTGATCCAGACAGAGTGGATAGAGCATGTTCTTTATCAATTTACCAATTTCCCAGAATAATGGAAAAACCCCTCATTTGGGGGCGGGGGTTGATTCCGTTTTATTGGTTTGTTTGAGTGTAATGCTCTACTGTCATACTGGCAATGTGTAGGACTGAAACATAACCTGGAAACATAGTAACAAGTTCTTTAAGGGTAAAACCAGTTTCTTTCAGTGTCCTAAGCAAAAATAATTTTTTGTTGGCTCTGCCTATCATCTCAGCTAAGTACGAGTCCCACTTAAAGTTATGTTGAAATGGAACACCCAGTAATTTAGCCCTCGCAACGTAGTTAAATTGAGAATTCAAAATGTTAAAAATGGCAAGGGGTTGTTCCCTTCTGCCAGTGTGCACTTGCAAACCCTGACATTTTAGCCTCATCTAAAGAGAGTTGGTTTTCGAAGTACAGTCATTGAGTCACTTCAAATTATACTGCGTGTGTAATGCATATATGACTGATACCAGTGAGCAGCCTGTTTATACCCAGCGTGAGATCATCAGCAAGCATTTCGGGCAGCATCGCTTACAAATGCGAGAAATAATACTGGGCCAAGTTTTGAACCTTGAGGCACTCGCCCAGTCCCCTGACAAGGTCTGGCAGTCTGAGGTATTCAACTCATAAGAAAGCTAAAACAAATGGATTTGTGTACATATCTTTCTTTGTTCTGAGGCAGGATTTTCAATATAAGATAACTTAAGAATGATAGGAGTTTTTCTGGTCTGTTTCAGCCAAAAGTTGCGGAGATCCAGGCTACTTAAGGAATGGCAGGAGGGAGGGAAACTTGTTCACCTTTTTGAGTAGGGTCACTTTCCATTGCAACATTGGCTACGAGATGCGAGGTTATGCCCACAGGACCTGCATGTCCGACCAGAGGTGGAGTTCATTCATGCCGGAATGCGTTGGTACGTAGGCACTAACCTTACATACCTAGTGTGGACTAAAAGATGTCCACGCGGTGCAGGAAAGGAAAATGTTCTGTGGACTTACATATGTCCACAGGACATTTCCCCTTCTCTGAAAAAGGAGTTTAGAGGCATTTGGGGGTTGGGGTCATCTGTTGTAAACGGAAGAGGAATAGTCAAGGAAACCTTGTACAAAAAGGCAGCTGAAAATCGTGTTCCCAGTTCAAGAAAAACAAGCATTTTCTCTGAGTTTTCTTAACTGCACGAAAAGAAAGGAATGTCCACACTAGGTGTGTAAGGCAAGTGTGGGGGGGGCAAATCATTTCTCAGATCTCAACCTCATTCAAAAAGACGACATCGCCAAATTTCGAATTGGTGTAGATCATTTATTTTTTCTGTGCAAAGATGCCAAATTCTGTTCTTGAGATAAAGCAAAAAAATGTAGAAGACCTCACCCCATGCTGGAAACACTGAAGGCCTCTCAGAAAAGCTCCAAAGATAGAAACAAAGATGAACTTGACCTAAATGCAAAGGAAGGGTTTGAAAAATGGCCATTGAATATAATCTGACGCAGTTGTAGAAGATTCAAATAATGCTCAATGATACATTTTCATGACAGGCTCTTTACTGGCTACATGCCTTACGCATGGTTTGAATTTGCTGCCATGAACTCTTTAAAGAAATTCAGTAACTTTAAAACATTATCAAAAGACTTACATGTAGTTAACTTTGAAAAAATGAAATGTCCTGGTAACTTGTAACAATCCAATGCATGGTTGTTTTCTCATCAGATCACGGCACACTGTCTTCTGATTCAGTCTAGGATGGCTATGTTATCACTACTCTTCATTGTGCTACCAAGATTTTTAACTTTAATTGGGCAATTTCAAGTGGCAACTATATATTTAGTTTAATAATGGTTGTTTGGCCAACGTTGTCCGAATGATGGATGCTTTGCAGCAAACAGTTGACCATTTGGAACCAGGCCCCAGGGCCATGGTCAAACCAATAGGTATCAATGAGCAGTTTTATTCATCAGTAAGGAGGGAACCGTTACCATAAAATTTAATTGTACAAAACACCATTGGCCATGAATGCTGCAAGAATTGAAGCTAAGAGTGAAGTACAAGTGTTAATGAAATTTTACAAACTAGTTGAACTTCAAGCATACACGTACACTTAATTGTATTCGCTCTTTGCACGCTGCCATCATAGGCATGCAGAGCCTCGATTTGGCAGCTTTACACAATAAATATATCCGGTTCAATGATTCCCGTGTATGTGGCTCAGTAATTTTGCACGTGCTGCGGTAGGTCTTACACCATGTGATTGGAAAAAGCGATTCTAATGTGATGTACAAGCTGCGAGTTCTCTGCATGCCTATGGCGGCAGCATGCAAAGAGCGAACTGAAGATGTGAATTGTTAAAAACAGTTGATTTAGAATGGCGAAACTATAGTTTGTGTCAACACTTGATCTTGGGTGAAGTAGTGTGCGATGCAGTACATGCTGTACTATACATACTGTAAACTCCCTCCAAGACAGAAAATTATAAATATGGCTCTTGTTTTTGTTATTGCAGCAATTGAATGCCCGAGGTTGTATGCACCAGAATTTGGATCATTAGAGGGAACGCGGGTCACGTATGGTTCTGAGGCATACTTGGAGTGCAACCGAGGCTACAAGCTCTTGGGAAGTGAGTACAGGCGTTGTCAGGCCAACGGAACTTGGAGTGGAGAAGAGACTACTTGCCGAGGTCGGTGTCATTAGTTGTTGAGGAGAAATGTGGGCCCTCAGATTTAATTTGGTTGTTGAGAATTATACATTTTCTTATTTTTGGGGGGGCTGGGGCATTTTGTTTGCAGATGTTAATTTGATTGTTGAGAATTATACATTTTTTGGGGGGGGCTGGGGTATTTTGTTTGCGAATGTTGATAACTCTCTCTGATAATACAGACTTCAAGTTGGAAAGGTTTTCTTTTTTGACATAAAAATAACTGCACAAGATGGATGAGCTTGTGCAGTCAAATGTGAGTAGAATTGGCATATCCGCTCCGAGCAGAACAAAAGAGAGGATTTTTTTTTTGGTACTCACCGCACAGGCGCCTCATGGCACGCAAGTATATGCGCGTTTGACACGGAGGGGGCTGAGTATGCGAAACTAATTTATTCCGGCTTGTATGGTCTTTGCATATATGCAGAACGCATGCAAGAACCTGCATGTAACCACCTGTCTTTCTATCGCCGATTGGGGGTGCACTTCAGCTCGGGGCAAATTGTAAAACTGGTTTCAACATCTTTGTTTGATTTGGGTGGTATTGCGCATGTGCAGTGCTGAAGAATCCATTGACTAGTGGTCAAACTGGTTGGCACAGGAGCTTGTCTCGTTCAGTTGTGTAGGCTGCACTCCTGCATAGAGATACCCTAGCGGTTTTCTCTCTTTTTCTTTCCTCCAGTCATTACGTGTCCTGAGCCAGACACTCCGGACAATGGCTCCAAGAGGTCGCCTCGGTACGGGTTGGACGCCATCACTCACTTCTCCTGCAATTCGGGATACACTCTGTTTGGGAGTAGCACCACGCGGTGCACCGCTGATGAGAGGTGGTCAGAGCCCACGCCGGAATGCAAAGGTGATTATTGCCCCTAGTCCCTCTTGGCTTTCGTTACATGTACATGTATCTCTTGGGAGTGGGAACAAGGGAGGGTGTGTTTTCAAACAGCAGCAATGGCCCTTTGATTGGAACTCATGCATGTGCGCACAGGTTTGCCTGCAGATGCACTGAGCATGTGCGGCCACTTTCTGTTAGGCACTCTGTGTACGTGTGCACGGCGTACATACACTTATCACTAAACAGAATCATTAACATATTGACAAAATGATGGTTAATGATTTACAACATGATTAACAAAATATCACAGGACACTTGGGCATTCTTGTTTCATTTAAGGCAATTCCATATATTATTGGCCCTAGTGCCTCAAAAATCAGTGTTGCGTGAATACTTTCACTGATTGTGCGTTTAAGTTTTGGTGTATTATTGTGCAAATAGATAAAGCCGCACAGAAGCCATTTAAATGTGGAGTTTCCATAGGTTTTGTGTAGCAAGTGGATGCACACAGCAGGCTTTATTTTGCACAAGTTAGCACTTTAGTAATGAATATACATGAACATGTGGTTCCATGATCTTCACACAAATTTGTTTGTATTTGCCTGAAGAAAGTTAGTCACATCATCTGTGTTTGTTTTCTTTTGTGTTTGCACAATTTGGGTTATCACAGGTGATTGCAGCGTGGAAAGCTCTCCTCGAAATGGCTACTTTTTACATAGATATGAACGTTACACAGAGGGCCAAGTGGTTCAGCATGGAACAGTTATAGAGGTATGCCACAGAAAGTTCTTCCAAACATTGCAGTTTGCTTTTGCATTTTTTTTCTTTTAAAATGAATGATGTGTAATTTTTTGTGTTCCATCCTCCACAATTGTTGACTTTAATCAAAGGTTCCAGGGGAAAGTGTTTTGGAATGGATTCGTGCGTAAAAAGTGTCTTTGCAGAGTTCCTGCATTTACATCACAATTTTTTTTTTCAGTACCATGTACTCAATACAAAGCACTTGTTGATTTGCCCAGTTAGGGATGTGTTCTTGTTTATCCCTCTCGTAGGAGGGTGTTTTATTCACGCCCTCGGCTCAACTGTGTATATGGTGTGTTCATGTTTTGGTTTATTTGATGAGTCTAACATTGACGGTGTTGCACGGACAGGTGAGATGTTACAGGCTTTACTCCTTAAACAGTGAAGAGCCATATGAATGCATCGATGGAGAGTGGTCATTTGACGCAGAGTGTGTTGAAAGTAAGTTGTGAACCTTATCAATATCAGTCATCATGCCCTTTGCATTTTCATGTATGAAGTACCTCATATATTTAGATACAATATTAAATAGTTTGTTTAGTATGCTACTTATTCGAGGAAAAAAGTCAAATGAAACATAGCTTGATCACTTTTTGTGACCACTACATTGATGATGTTGTATTCAAATGTTTGTCCAAGTAAACACAAAAATGTAGACATGATGACGTCCACGTTAGTGAGCCAGCCCAGTTTTTGTTTGAGAACAAAGTATCTGACACTGTGTTTGCCTGAGCATGTGGTTGCAGTGATAGAACTAATCTCTCATGTACTGATTGATAAGCTTGAATGACCTCTCGAAGTACTTCATTCTGGACAATTCATCCAATCTGCTTCATCTGAGAAAACGTTACATTCTGAACTTTCTTGTCAGCGTTCATATTTTTGTCTTTTAACTGAACAGAATTGGTCTGCCTGAAGTAACACTATTTGTTTTCTCCATATATTTACAGATCCGTGTCCCAAGCTATCAGAGCTACTCAATGGACAGATCACTTACGATCCAGAATTGGTGAATCAGTCGCAGAGCACTGTCCCCCATGAGACAGTGGCCACATACAGCTGCCTGTACGGCTTTGAACAACAGGGAGGGTACAGCACAACACGCTGCTACTTTGGTGCCTGGAATGGCCGTTGGGAGCCTGTCTGTGAACCGAGTATGTCAAACTCTCTCATGTTTTTAATCAGCTTTGTTTATCTGCACAAGGATACTACAGCTTCACTTCCTGTGCTTTTTTCAGCTTGGATCTCTTGCTCCCAACATAAATATTTCCAAATTGAATTGGTCTATTGGAAAACATGACTGGGTTGCATGCAAGTTTCCACAAGTGAATAGCTTTATGCTTGTCTGCTGTAGAGCATGTTTTCTTTGAATAAGACACATACGGCTCTCTAACCTAGAAGTTTGTGACTAAGTTCTGTAAGGGTTAATAGAAAGTCAAAATAATATGCATTGCAGATTATTATGGCCAATAATCTGTATTTGCTTAGCAATTCTGTTGTGCTCTACAAATTTGAGAGCTGAGCAGGAGTATGCATGTGGCTTGTGCTTGGAACCATCTTAATATGTGTTCTCCAGAACTTTGAACCGGAGTCATCGATTGTGACTTCTATTTTCCAAAGGTGACCTCTGTGTTTGTGTTCGAGCTAACAAGTGTCAAAACCTTTCCATAATGTGAGTAATATCCTTTCAGAAGTAGAATAGAAGTGGTAAAATTATATAATAAAAAAAAATCTCTTTGTACCTCAGAGACTTGCAGTAAGGAAACTTTGGAGAACGGAAACGTGCGCTACACTAAGAATGACCAGGATTTTAGTGTGCGGGACCAAGACCCCCATCATGACGTTGTCAGGACTGCCAGATGTAGTAATGGCTACAGTTGGGAACCATCCTCAAGAAGGCAGTCAGTGTGCGAGAATGGCGAGTGGAGTGACTCACTTCCAACCTGCAAGCCAGGTGGGGAAAAAAATCCTCCAGTTCCTTATCTCAGTCATTCTGTTTGATGCACGGTCATACTTCTACAGAACCATGGCTATTTCAGCAAATATTTCTTAGGTAGCCACTATTTAGGTCTTAAGCATATCAGTACATGGAGTATTTTAAATGAACTTGTCAAATTTAAAGATGTGAAACTTTATGAACAGAAGAATCAAACAGTTAACTCTCACCCCAAAACGAGGACATTTGTAAAACGAATTTGTGACAAGGAAAAAAATTACATGCATAGAGCGGTATGAGTGATAAGCTAAGTAATTGATAATTAATAGACTTTATTCATGCGTCAGCAATATTGAAATTGAAAGTGAGGCTAACTACATGTATTCAAGTTAGGAATTTTAAAGAATTGTTAAAAGAATGATATGAAAGTGCCTGACAAATTAGTACCTGTCCTCTGTGATGAATAATTTCATATTTGTGATAAAAAACATACATGTACTTTACAGTTACACCAGATTTTGAAAAAAAAATATGAAGCGGAGGCTTGGAACCAACATGAATTCTGAATAAGTCTGATACCATCCCATTCAACAGTTAACAATTTATGAAACAGATTTAATGAACAAGATAAAAATGGCTTTCTCAGGAATAAGGTCCATTGTAGCATTTGCATAATCTTTACAGCTAGTAGTGGTAACATTTATAAAATTTTTGGTGTTTTCTCATTTCTTGATGGTCATGTATCCATGAAATTTATATTCAAAGGTGGATTTGTTGAAGTTAGAGCTTACATGAAAGGTATTTTTAATGTAGAAAGGCTAATGATTAACCTAATTTTTCTTACAGATGCCTGTTCTACACCAGATGTCGATGGTGGTGATATAGACGTGCAAAGTATGAGACATGGAGGTACTGCACAGCTCACTTGCAGATGGAACCTGAAATCAAGCGTTGGTGATGGCCAGTTGCAGTGCCATGCAGGACATTGGGTACCAGACGGCATTGAATGCATCAACAGAGGTATGCCATCAATAATCATGACTGGCATCATATGGCTTCAACACTGGGTGTCCAGTTTTGCCTTGAGCTTAAGAACAGGGAGGTTGCTGATGTATTTTACAAAAAATTGCTTATACAAACTACATGTAGGGCATCAAAATGGTGCACAGGATGTCTAAAAGCCTGCTGGACACCCCTCTACGAATATAAGGGAATAAATATAGCTCAGGAGAATGGATAGGACTGTTGTCAGCATTCATCGTCCTGAGGTCTTAAATGTCTTAAACGTTAAGCACATATGTGACCGGCTCTAGAAAAATAGGTAATAAGTCACCAGATTCAGGTTGAGTTTTTGATATGGCTGGATTTTGTACATTGAAAGCTACAATTTGATACATGAATGACCCCTGTAGTGCGCTGTGTTCTGGATATATATAGACATTTGTATATCCACATTTTTGGATTCAATAAAAGCACTTTTTGAGAAAAAGCTCTTGAATTGTAGTGCTTGGAAATGCAATGGTATCGGTATGTAGGATTTCCTACTGAATAATCAATTTTTCATCTTTGTTCATCAGTATCCATGTTTGTAGTCACAAATTCTGGAAATATAAATATGATAGAAAGTATTAAAGGAAAAAACACCAAATCACATTTTTGAAGAAATTTTTGGGTCACATGTTTATTCCCATTCATAAATACTGTTGTAGTCAGAGAGTCAACAGAAGTCAATATGCAATAAATTTCCAAGAATTTCGCTTTCATTTTCCCAAACACCCCTGTCCATGTTATGGTGTATTGCTTTGAGCAAGTAGTCCAGAAGAATCTCCTTTTATGGACTTGGCATGCGTGTGATGAGTTCTGCATTCCATGGCACACACAGTCTCTCTTTATGCATAGGAATGGATTAAACAGTCTTATATCCAGGTGCCACCATGTTTTACACAATGGGCATTATCACTTCTCAGCGGGTGTTATCAAACGATACACAGTCGCGTTACACTTGTTGAATAGGGAGACTGTCTAAGATATTTATGAATATGTGTTTCAGTGCTTGCAGCAGATGACTTTCCTGCAATAAGGCGGCCCTTATTCTTTTGCATGGTACATTGCTGTAGGCATCCTTTCAAAGCACACATGAATGGAACAGCTTACAGTTTTTTGTGTGTGTCTTGAAAAGTAATAATCTTTCATGCATGAAATTAGTGTTGTATGTCCTTTTGGTTTTGGGGACACTTTGTTGAAATTGACCGTTGTATTAGAGCAAGTTTTTAAATTGTACATGTATGTATTGATTAAAAAAAGATGCACCTTTCAACGTGGCTTATGGAAAACCTGCATCGCAAAGCCCAATTTCTGAGGTCTCCAGTAGGAAACAAGCTCCCCTGGCAGTGGATGGAGATAGGACTACTGACAAAAACCATGGAAGCTGTACTGTTGCAAGTGAGTCAACTGACCTTTGTTGTAGCCAAATGCAGGACAGTGTTCCTGTTCATATTGAAAGCACTCATAAATTTGCTTCCCAGCGTTTCCACAGTGTTTTATAGTTGAGAGATCTAAGACCCTACATGTACAAGATTTCATGAGATCAACACAAGAGTTCAAGTCGTAAGCTATTCAAGTAAACCGTGACGAAAGCATTCCATTGTCATTGTTTATCCTGTTGAAACAGACAGGTGACTGGTCATTTGACTGGTTTACTATGAGTGGTTGTGTAATGGTCTTGACTCCACCACTGGTTCCCAATATTCAAAGTGGTATGAAGTGCATACAAAAATATAATTTGGCAGAACTTTAAACATCATCTTGGACTCAGTTACAGAAGCATTTATCGATTGCCCTTTTTTTATCAGTGCATATATGTTGATTCTGTACAGCGATGATTTCGTTCAATGAACTGAATAAGATATATATAACACTAGGGTTCAACTCATCAGTTACATCATTAGTATTAGATGACAAAACTCTCAAAAGTGATACTTTTATTACCACCAATAGACTGAGTTGGGTCCGTGAGTCTGAATATGGATTATATAAACAAAATATTACACAATGGGCTGTGTCCATCTGCACGACTATAAAAGCTAATTCCTATTCAGTGTTGACTTGCTTTTACAGAAAAATCCACACAGCAGGTTTTCTGGGAAGTAGACTTGCAGAATACCTACAAGATAGAATATGTGGTGATCTACACCAAATCCAGTGAGTATGTGGATGGAGAACGGCTCTACATGTAAGAAGGGGTTGTTCTATGGGTACTTACATGTACACTGGAAATGTATGAATTTATAGATGGATGACAGCTTACATAATTCTTCCCAATTTGGATCAACTCCAGAAGATACAGCAGTTACTTCCATACTTTCAGGTTGTGCCAAAGCCATTCAGCAGTATAGGGAAGTTGGGTGGAAATTGTACAAAAACATTGGAAAGCCATTTTCAAGAAGCTCAAACTTCTCATGGATGCCATATTGAGATTGTAGCAGTATGAGTTTAAAATAGTCCCCCCCCTAAAAAAAAAATTAACACAAAAATAATAAACAAGTAACATGCACCAATCAACATGTGAAAGAGAAAAATGTACCGTTGAAGCCAATGGGCAGTTAAGAATAAAAAAATGGTGCACCAGGGAAAGCAAGGATGTTGACGGATAAGTGGTAAATTAAAGACTTCACACAGATCTCCTGCACAGGAGTGGGATGTTATTTCAAACATTAAAACGACATTTTGTTTATAATTATGCTCAAGTCACGGTGATCATGTGGAGTGCATATTGCTGCGGCCTCATGGTTTAGAGCATTGGATTCGTAGTCAGAGGGTAAAGCTGCAGACTGCAGGTTCAAATCCAGCCTGGGGTCATGGTGCGTGTGCCCTTGGCCAAGGCACTAAATAGCACTCATTGACTCCCCTACCGGACTTAATGGGTACTTGTGAGGGCAGAGATGGATGTGGTGCTTGATTCAGCTGCTTTTTATATACGCCGAAATGGCAGCATTGGGCTGTATATTCCACAGGGAGCTGAGATGGTATTTGGAATGTTTTATGGGCTCAGTGAGCAGGGGTATTAATGAAAGCGCTTTGATACTAGTTAAAAGTCCTATATAAAAAACCTGTTATTGTTATATTGATATTTTTATTATTATGCAAGTGATTAGGGTCCCCTACACTGCAAGGGCAAGCATGGCCGAGTGGTTGAGTTGTTCACGTGGCTATAGGTCTTGGGGTAGGACATTTTACAATGCTGCAACCAGGACATTAGCCAGAAGGCAAAATGGATGGCATGGCTAGAAGCCTGTGCCGAAGGGTGCACTGTAGAGTCTGATAAGCAGAGACATTCACAGGCTTGCCTGCTAAATTGAAGTCTGAAACTGGAAAATGGTGGAAAAATCAAATGATGTTTTTCTACGTAAATTGTTTTCTTTACTTTGTTTTCCATTATGTTCTCTCCTAGAGTCCCAGGTCCGAGGAGCCACAGTCCAAGTTGGATACAGTGGCATGGCTAGGCAGTCCTACAGGCAATGTGGTCAGGAAGTGAATAGACGCACGGTTGCAGTCCCTGAGTCTGGTCTGCGAGTGGATTGCACATCGCAGCTGATTGCTGGACAAATAGTCCGAATCGAGCGTCAAGCTGACAGCATGAGCCTGTGCGAGGTAGAGGTGTTTGTCACTGGCCCCGTTGCTAGTAAGTTGGATATGTACCTGTTTGGGTTTACTATCTTCAGATTTCTGACTTCTTCGTTTATTATTTGTCTACCAGCTTCGTTTATTATTTGTCTACCAGCCCATCAGGTAGTGCATGTTGTAGCGAAACAGGTTACTACCAATTTCTCTTAAGTCAGTTCCCCTGGACTCAGTGAACCAGTGAAGCATTCCAACCTTGTTAGCACAAATTTAAAACATGTACATGTAGGTCACTAGAAAAATGCTAAAACATGCCTTAGGTCGAAACCATCAGCTTGGCCCAACACAAGTATTTGTTCAGTAGTTGTGAGGACATACACCTTGCACTACGCTGATTTTTGGGGGACCAAAATGTTGTGAGGACAGAGAACTGTCCCTACAACTCTGTGCCAATTTGCTTAACAATAAAAAACTTCCCCATAACAAAGTGAAAGCCTACCTTTTGATTCAAATGCACCAAACTTGTTTCAACTAGCAATATGCCAGATGCATTGTTCCTGAATGACCTTGCCTTTGTGAGATACAGAATGAACTCATCAGATGGAACAGGTTTTAAATTCTAGCGAACCCGGCCAGTTGCATTGAGCATTTAACAGCTGCAGACGTGTCATCAACTCTGAGACAACAAGAACTATATACGTGTAGTACCATTGAACATTGTCACTGTTGGATTATCGTTGGTGCTCAGAAGTTGCTGAGAGTTGCCCGAGGCTGATTTCTGCCTTAAGATGGGTAACTGTTAAACTATATGCCACTCGAATGGACCTATGTGTAGAACTGTTTGCCATCATACCGTGCAGGAACTCTGGCAGAACAAAATGGTGAAAAACCTTCACCAAGCAATCTGTCACCATAAAGATCCCCAAATCGTCCACCAATCTTCAGTTATGCCATACATCTAAGGTGCTTTTGGCAGGTTGGGTCCCTATGAATCATGTCAGAAAATCCTGACTTGTTTACCAAGTCAGGATCTTGTATCCAAGCTCAAGTTGCAGTTTGCTGCATCTTGTAACTCTACTAATGAACTTTCCAAAAACAGGCTGACCACTTAAACTATCATTTGTTCAACCAGCGTGTCGAATTCCGGACATAGCCGGAATGAGACAGACACTGGCAGGAACCAACGAGGAGCTGCATGCCGGTACCAGAGTTCCTCCAGGTACAGCTATTGACTACAGCTGTGAGGGTGAGAGTTACCAGCACAACGGAGTCAGAGATAATCACTGTAACAGTGATGGTACATGGGCGAATACTAACCCCAGTTGTGATGCAGGTGTGTGATGTTCCATACTTTATCGATTAGTGTTGGTACTTCGGTTTATACTCATAGGAGTGCTAGATTTTCACAAATTTTATCCTTTAAGGTCTGGCCAGGCACTGTACCCAATTCTCTCTCTTTTTAAAACGCAAGCGAGCAAGGAAATTCAGCCACATTGTTCCCAAAAGTAGCCTTTAGGGTAGACACAGACTACATATTTACGCTGCGGGTTAGAGAGGGATTTTTTGATACTAACAGAAAAAAGTACCGCTTGGCAGCGAGGTGAATACTCACTGCTATGATGTCACCTGGTCGCCTATATTTCTACTTCCAAGGCGCGAGGTGGAATCGGCCAATAACTTGCTTCGATTTGCTCATGAATATATATGAGCTGTAGTAATACAGGTTACCAGGCGGCTCAACATATGTATCATTCATTTAATGGAGAGGCATGTGAAAATTGACAACTTTTACAATTTCAATTGTTTTAACTACATGTATGCGTATTTTGGAGTAGCCATTTAACGGGCTTCCTTCTGCAAAACATCATTAACTTCTAAGTAACATCAGTGGTAATGCTAGGGTCAGGAATCTTGATCTTTGTTACATGGACACACTCATCTGTGCACCATTTACACATGTGGAAAATGTTGATTTTTTTTGGTAAAGGGACTGGCATCTTTACTAATTACTGCTGGCTAAATAACCACTGTTTTCATTGTCATTCTAATTACTAGGTTCATTTGAAGCTGAAGTTTCAAATAAAATAGTGGTTTGAATAATCTACCTTTCAGAGGATCATATGAATGTTTCTTACTGCATAATGTTTTTTCAAAGGACATGTAGTAGTTTTGTTGAAGTCTAAAATAGGGGTAACTTTTGTCTTCAAAGTCCACAAACATGTACTCACCCGTTCTTTTTTCCAAATTATATTTAGTGTTTACATATATCCAGTGGGGGCGGGGAGACAGATTTTTGCCTGAATCAAAAGAGCCAGCATTTTAGAAACGGTATTTCCACATGCCTTGGGTGGTTAATGAGGATTTTGAATAACAAACAAATTTGGATACTTATTTTTTTGAACATTTCGACTTTACCCACCCCCTGTCCGCGAGCTAGATACGCCACTGACTATGTTTTGTATTTAAAAAACTAAAAAAAAAAGCCAGCCCACATATGTGAGGGCAGAAAATGTACCGTATGTAACTTTACATATGTATAACTGCATTTGTCTGTGTTAACACTTGGGTGGAATTTTTTGAAATTGAAATAGAAAATTGGGACATTTACATGTACATGCTTTTAATCTTTGCCGCAGCAAAACAATGTGCTTTTTCTATTTTCAGCTGATTGTGAAGTTCAGGCCCCTGAAAATGGTTGGCTATTACAGCAGATAAGCCGTCTTCCTCACGGCTATCAGCTTGCCTACTCTTGTAGAGATAGATATGAAAAGGCACAAGATATCGTCACTCATTGTGAGTCAGGCGAGTTGACCCCTGAACCCCGGTGTGTCCCTGGTAAGTATTCGTTTGAAACAAAAATTAAAGTTCAAGAAAGAGAAACTGTCAACTGATCAAATTTTAACGAAAACTTAAAAATGAACTTGTACTCTGTTATGACTCAACAGCAGAATAGATTTTTAAACTGAGAAACTTTGAAAGAAAAAAGAATCAAGGACATGAGCTCAGTTTAAAAAATGTTTGTCAACAGGTGTTGTCAGAACGCATGACATTAACCTGCCACCAATTTCAGGAAACAGGTGTAGCTCCGCATCATGCGTAAACCTTATGCCAGGAGTATGTGGTGTAGCTGTGTAATGTGCTTGTGGTTGAGTTTACAAAAAGTTGCGTAGCTTTGTAGCATCCTAACTATCTGAAAATTCATTGTCAAAAATGATCAGAGTGTAAAAGATGACTGTTCCTTTTCAGTCTCATGACAACTGTAGTTCCATGAGTAATTTTGGAAATGTTTTGGTATTTTCTTTGTTGGAGCCAAGTTCTTTCACAGGTAAACACAGTTCCAAAATCTCCAAAAGTAGTGATGAGCCTTAAGTGAGCTTGATTGGTTGATAGTTAAATAACTGATTTCAACTCTTCACTACCCAAAACTGATTGTACACAGTGAAGTTGTAACTTTAAGTTGTAAACACCATTAGTTGTGCTAGTCATGAATTTATGCAGGGGAAAGCTTTCCCAAAATGTGTGAGAGTTTGTTGCACAACTTACACGACCAAATATTGCGTATGTGAAAGTCAGCTATTACGTACATTTCATGAAATTGGCTGCAGCAGCGAAAATGTGCTTGTTGGATGATAATTCTTGAGAAAACTTCATAATATCATCTAGTCTTGCCCTGATGTAAATTCTGTTGAGGTTAACAGTTGACTTTGCTTTCAAAATATTTTGCTTTAGAACATTGTAGACTACAGGCAAGTGATTTCGGTGATGTTATCATCAATAACAACGAACCTGCACCTGATGCTGACGGAATTGTACACATACCTCATGGTACTAAAGTCCATTTCACCTGCGCAAGAGGACATAATCTGATAAATCAAAATAGAAACACTCCTCGGTGTTGGATGGGACATCTTCAGGATATCACTCACATCCCATATTGTAGCCCAGGTAAATTCTGGTATTATAAAAAGTACCACAACAACTATTTGCAGATCCAGTGTAAAAATCTTCTATGTAAGAGCTACTCTGCAAGCCAAGACATGGATTCACTAATTTACTTGTTATGACTTTCTGTGCATGACAACATTTTGTGTGTACATGGACCAATGGCCGTGTTCGAATCCCTTGGCTATGGCTGGAATTTACACTCAAGTGGCCGCGGCCACTGCAATAGACTCGTGTGCAATTTCGGCCTTGGCCAGGTGATGTGGACATGGCCTTTGGTACTCTGTCAATAGTATGGGCTCTGAGTGTACACTGTCAACCCTGCTTGTTATCTCTTATGACTTACATGTATATCTGGTTGGAGTATTTAATATCTTCATAATTCCATTCTCACACAGATTTAAAAATATTATAAAGTTTACAAAAAACTTTACCTTGGAAAGAGAAAAATACAATGCTTTAATAGCAACACAACAAATACATGTGTGCAGTACACTCTCCCATGGTATATATTTTGCAAAGATTTGGGAATTTTATCATCTTAACCTACCAGGCCTGCAAACATTACTGTAAGGGTTAACTAAACAATGCCATTTTTTTGTATCATTGCTGAAATTTGATAAGATCAGGAGTAATAATTTCTGTTGGCCTTCCACATGGCTCGTATATTTTAATCAGCATAATTTTTTATTGAAGATAAACTTTGTAACTTAATGCTTTACACAGTTACATGTGACTATCCACCATACCCCCAGCATGGCAGCTACAACCTGGAGCAGGGGGACAGTGCGGTGCACGGTTCTGCCATAAGGTACGAGTGTTATAAGGGATATCAGTTACAAGACCCATCCAAAGAATATTCTTACTGCGTTGATGGGAGATGGAGCCCAGAGGAGCTACCTGTGTGCCAACGGCTGACAGGTAAGCACTGGAAGTGTCCTGGGGTCAGTATGACACATGCGTATTCCATGATAACCGCCTTGAGCAGAGGCACCTCCTCATTGGTTGAAAAGAATTATGTTGGTGGGAGTGTCATTTTTGTTGGTAGTTACGTGACCGTAAAGTGTGCATTTCAAAGTCATTGTGAACTGGTGAAATGCAGAGCCTGCCAAAGGAGCCATCATTGCCAGGAAAACTGCGCCCTCTCTTGGTCCCACTCGGGACAGAACACAATGTGCAGAAATAATGTCACAGTAGCTTCCACGATGCATGTTTTCCACGGAGATTTGATTTTTAGTGAAGTTTGCACTGCCTTGTCGAGTGGTTCATGAGAAAAAGCTCTTTTCAAGCTTACTTGAAAAGATCCAAACCTGAAACATCTTAGCACTAGAAACATAACTATCCTCAAACCTCAAATTTCCATTGATTTTCTAACTTGGGGTTTGGGCTACTGTAGACTTCTCTGCGAAATTATTCTTAGTAGTTGTCAGATGCCAGAGGGTAAGAAGAAAACTGTTACAACAGACAAATGTGATTTGTTCTGAATTTGGCAAAAAATTTATACCAAGTGTCAGTCATCACCTTGATGCTTTGAACATTATCATGTTTTCAACTAAATGTACATGTAGTTGAGGACTAGCATGGAAATCAAAACTTGTCAGCAATTACTCAAGCTCATCACTTAAAGAACAAACATTTATTATCGTTTACGTCTTCTCTGATTATTTATTCACAGTGCCAGTAACAGAAACACCGAATGCAAATGCTCCATGCCCCACGCCTTCTCCACCCAATGCCTTGGTCTTCCACAATGGCCAAAACATTGCCTTGATTGACTCTGTAATCAATTTTGGTCAAGGTGACTGGATTGTCACTCGCTGTATTAACCACTACAGTGCAAATGGGAGGAAGGCAGTCGACTCTATGTGTTCAAATGGCGCTTGGACTCCTGCCTTGCCATCCTGCGGTAAGACAAACATTCGTGGCTGTGTGTTCTGATCGAGAAAGCCTGCAGAGTTATACTCATGCAGTATGACTGCACTAGTTTGTGCTTTCAGCTATAGGAAAATATATGTTCAGCAGTTTTCAGTACAGTGCGTGTAAATAATGTAATACTTTTCCGTCGTATAAAGAGACATAAGAGAAATAATGCTTTTCACGTCACAAATTTTTGGCATTGTTTACACAGTGAGGTTGAAATATGAGTAAGACATCTATAGTTTGCTCAACCTTTCCAAATCCCTGCAACCGCCAAGTGTTCAATCATTGTACACCAGGATTATTGCACAATAAACCGACCTGACTGCTTGGGATTATATTTTCCACCCCCAAAAAACATATTCTACGGAAAAGACAAGCTCTCTGAGCATCTAGTAATAATGTAAAGTGAAACACCTCAGGCTGTGCCCGGGAGTGATATTTGCAGTAGCGGGCCACTTTCAGTTGCTGAGTCTGGGCACTACACAAGGTCTACCTACACCACCTGCTCGACTGGATGTGTGTATGAATGGGAAGGCATGCTGGTTTCCCGTGTCAAAGGGACAGTTTGTTATTTTTCGATGTTTGGGACTGCAGTTGTCCCCGCACTTCACGTACGTGTGTGCACAAAACCAAAGGGAACAATCAGAGCATGAGGGCATTTGATTTTGCCCCATCCAGACAACATGATGCTAAGGCAAATGATTTAATCACAGTTTTCAATCTCTCTCTAATGACGATGTTAGCTACAGACATGAATTTAGACTTAAATTACAATTTTAACCATGTGCACAAAATGGGGACACTGGGTTGGATGTTCCAGATATTGCAGCCGGCATTCTTAGGACAAATTGAGCAACGTACTTCTACTTGTCAGGCAGTCTGGTACATGTAGTCTGAGATGTTTTCACATTTAACGCTCTGTAAATCGTCCCATTTTTCTTTGTCTTCTGTTCCACCACCACTTCTATCATCCACCTGTCATTTTTTTGTAAATATTCAATATCGAATATTTAACCAATTTCCTTTTTTGTTTGACAGAGGCTACATTTCAGAAGCGCTCCTGCTCTCGTCCAACCACTATCCCACATGTCAGACAGTACGTGGATGGCTTAGTCAAGTTACCTGACAGCCTCCGCACTGTGTTTCACCATAACTCCTACATGATATCACGCTGTGTGGATCCACTGAAGGAGAAATTAATGACTGGTGCGCTCCGAATGTGTAATGACGGCCAATGGGATGGACCAGTGCCGAGATGTGGTATGCAGTTGTGCATATGTTGCTGCATGCACAGTAATCTTAAATTACGAAGACAGTATAAAGCGAGGCATTCAGGTTGCGACCGAAAGGCTTTTTATCGAGGACATTTACCCAGAGCTGTAGGAAATCTTATTGAAAGGCATTTTGGCAGATGCTGAAATACCCAGTATCGTAGACTTATAAGTGCCGAGATGTGGTATGTTTTCATGTTAAACTTATGTGCAAAGCTGGCCATTGTAGTTGTACTCTTTACTAATACATTATAACCCCTTATTGCTCTCTGTTTTGATGCCCCATTTTGCCCCAAAGTTTGAGGGTAGTCTGGTAACTTTAGGCATTTTGATAAATTTTGAGGAGTCCATATCAGCAGGCGAGAATAACAGAGGTAAAAAACGGCAGGATCCATGTGACTGCGCCTTATTGCCAGATATTTGGAGGTTACTGAACACAAACTCGTAGGGTTAGTGCAGTAAAGTCACACATTTCAATAAAAGATGCCTGTATAAAGGCCATTTTACTAACAGGGCGGACTCCCATCCGTTATACAAATATGTACATGGACACAATTCTGTATGCAATTTGGTATACATGCAAGGTGTTGAGTGGCAGACACTTTAATTTGCAATTAAAAGTTCACCATCGCTAGAACTCGCTGCCCTTACTCGCTGGTCAGTCTGAGAGACTGACATAGTGTTTGGAATTCATCCCTCAATATACCATTTCCTTGTGAAATCCCAAAGGGCTTTTTCACAGATATTGACCAGGTGATTATAGGTTTTTGAGGCCCTATCCCCCATGATAATGATGGGCAGACCATATAGTACCCCCATACACTCTTTAGGGGATTAAACACTTATATGGTTTCACTGGTCACTCAGCAATGGAGGTTTCTCAGGAGTATTTTGGTGATTGCTAATCTTTTAACAGGCTGAAAAATCCTTTTATAAAAAGTTCAGGAAAATTCAGGGCACAATGGTATGTCAAGGGATTTTTAAGGGGAGAGGATGTTCATTGTGGTATCTGTTTTTGATTCCAATGATAGAGTCTGCAGCGATTAGCTTCGCCATACCCTCCCTGTACACCATGCTCCACCAGTTCCTTGCTAACGGAACCCTGCTCATCTACCCACGTGTTGGTGAACTGACCATCCAATGCATTGTCTCAGGAGGAAAATCATCACTGAGGGCCAGTCACTCAGAAGGATTTACACCAATAGAAAATGGGAAAAGGTTTGGTAGACCAATAGAAAGTCATTCCGGGATTTATACATGTTTGAAGGCAGGGAGTGAGGACTACCATTTACTTTCTATACAGGTAAGAGGTAAGTTCATGTATCAACTGATTTATTATCAAAATCTGCATTTTGGTCTTTAACNTCTTTGAGTTTTAAATTGAAACTATGAGATAATAATAATAATGAAATAATAAATAATCTACATGAGTGAACAATGCTACCAAGTGTGCGCATGTTTCATTTTCTTTAAATCTTTTTCCCTCATCATGTGATCCACTGTTGTGATTGAGTAAACTATAATCATCTGCTGTGTTTTTTTCTGTATCACTTATAATTTTCCCTAGCTGTATCCTGTGGAGAGCCACTGCCTCCATTGAACGGTCGTCGTATTGGCAATGAGTTCCACCTGTCGCAGACAGTGTCATTTGAATGTAACGAGGGATACAGCCTCCTTGGGGAGTCACAGATTAAGTGCAATGCTGGAGAATGGCTAGGTGAAATTCCGCGCTGCAAAGGTGAGCATTAGAGGGATTTGTAATCCTGAAAGCATAATGATTGATTTTAAACAATGAAGAATTAAAAATCAATTCTTTAGAATTGCTTCCGTTGTCATTTGTCTATTAAATATGACATCACAAAAAACGGTTAAACTTTAGCTTTGTAACATGTGAAATTTTATCAGTTGTTGTATGAACCGTATGTACAATAAGAATGGAGCAGCACTGCATTGCCTAACTCACATTAGCAAATACAAGATTACATGGAGGTAAACAGCTGTCGTGCCTAGGCAGGCTCTGGATTGGTGAAGCTCCAAAGCACCTTTGTTTTCCCAAACCACATCCTATATGCTAGTCTAACTCCCAGCAACACTTCTGTTGCCACATGATTTCTCTGTACCTGCAGTGGTGGCACAAAAAGGACAAGTACCTCTCGGCTGTCCTCCTTGCCCCACCCTAACTCACCCTCACGTCCTTCCTCCCGCTTGCTGCACTCCAATAGAATTTGACAAGGATAAAAAAGCCTGGCAGTGCCAGTTACCCAACCCATGAACTGCCCATTCAAGAATATGGGACCCCATTGACCTTCTCTTAAGTTTCCCCTCCCCAATTGCTCCGTCCTCCAATGTGGCACCTGCAGATCGCAGCTAGTGCAGTTATACTGCTCTTTGGTATGCCCAAAACTTGCAAAAAGGACTGGTTTGTCTGCTGCCACCAAGCATCTTAAAGTGTCTCATTACCTGCAAAGTAGAGGCAGTATTGGTGCAACTGTTTGAAATACGGGTCCAGCAACCATAAACAGGCCCTACATTTCAGTCAAAACTTGGATGTGTGTACAGGTATGTATATTTTGCATGTTAGGCCTGCAAACCTCTAAGCGCGTGCAAAGTGTCACCCAAAAAAGGATGTTGCCGTAGAAACGTAATGACATTTTTTTTTCATGTACATGTACAGAGCCCACACTGTAATTGGTCCTGCAAATCGACAGCCCCTAAATCATATGATATTAGACATTTTTAGTTTGCTGTTTAAAGTCAAAGAAAAGGAAGAATTAATATTGGTTCCGTGTGTTCCTCCGCCAGCTCGTGCGTGTCCTGAGATCCACATGGAAGAGCTCGACCCCAACCTGAGACTCAAGGTAGACGGAGGTACATCTCAAGGCTCAGTGTTAGCATTTTCTTGCATATTAGGATTCTATAGTGTCGGGGAAACGTTCCTGACGTGCCAGGGTGGACGCTGGTCCCATCCCTTCCCCACTTGCCAAGGTGAGGCTCAGTTTTTCCTTGGAATTGATGAAATGCATTATAAACATGTACAGTCTAGAAGTATGCAAGGTCTGTGTAACGGTCACGATTAGGATATCAAGAGCTAATATGAAATTTGCAGCGCTGGTTTTGATAGTGCTACGAGTGATTTTGGTAATCTACAGTTTCATCAACCTGTAACGTTTTCCCGGAAATGTTATGTTGTTGCTGTGTAATTCAGACTGATTGCAGGAATTGAACAAATCAGCTGAAGCCTGTGTGATCAACATGAAGCACGTTATCCATTTCCATGAAAGATTTACCTCTCAAACAGGGCTTGAACAGAACAATGAGTGTCATTGAAAGTTTTGTGAGAACTGGTAAAGTCGTACTTTTTAAAATAGTTCAAATTGAACAGATTCCATCTTACCTCAACAGGCCTTTATCCTTATTTTGGTAGCTAATGATGAAGATGTGCTTGACACTGGCCCGTTACTAACGCCAGACACTTGCAATTGCGAGGTCTGGCAGAGATGTGTACCAAGCAGCTACGGCCAGTGGACGTGCAACTGCATTAATCCCCGGCAGTGTGATGACACCACAAGCCAGCAGCAATACTGTGGGAGTGACGGCCACACGTACGCCAGCATCTGCAGACTGAAGGCCACTGCCTGTCTGCTGGACCTAGACATTCAGGTCGCCAGCCAGGGACCTTGTCCAGAAAGTATGGAATGAATCATTTGTCGTTTATGTCAGATTATGTTTTTCCCCTCTGAGGGCCATTTTGTGTGAAATCTCTCTGAAGTTCTCAGGATTTCGGATAAGATCCTTTTTAAAGATGTAACAATAAACTCAGATGCAATAGCCATTGTTTCACCCCTGCATTCATCATTATCAGCCACACGTACCTGTGTTGGATAATGCAATTAAACTAAAGAAAAGTCACTTCTCCAGACTGGCACCATTTACCTCAGCGTCATCCTCACATACATATGCACAACTCACACAGTGCATTTTGTGAGCCTGTAGCCTGTCTGTGTATCCTAGTGTTTTCAATGTCATTATCACAACGTAATAGTGCAGTGATATGTAATGTGTTGCTGGCAGATAAGGGACAGTCTTTATTGTTTGGGGCATGCACGGTCTGCCATGTGCAATGAAATTTTTCTACCTTGTAGTGATGTCATTACTGCCTCGTCATGTCAACTTTTCAAAACTCCCACAACTTTCCAAAAGTATCTACATAGTCTGTGGAATACATGTAGATGCTTCCATAACCTCACCCACAGATTCTCTATTTTGCTTTGCTGAGAGATGTGCACATGGCATTTGCTATTTAGCTATTTTGGTTTGCATAAGAACTATACTTGAATCAGCCAAACTACTAAGTAGTAAAGCCGCAGCAACCAAAGAACAATACGTATGGCCACCGGCAGTGTGTACACATGCATACTTGTGTCCGCGTTGGGTGCATTCCAAATGGCTATCACCACTGAGCTGGGTTCAAACATTTTCTGAAGAGGTAGAAAAATGCTGGTAATTTTTTCTACAAATTTCTTATTTAACTAAATGTAGTCTATATGTGTAGTTAGATCAAATTAATCAGTTATTGCTCAAATCAAACAGACCCTGGGGAAGAGATTTTATTGTACAAATAGTGACTGCTTTATTTCGTGAAGGACCAGTAACACTGGCCTCCCTCAGTCATCCATGGAGCATTTCTTTTTGTCTCGGGAAAAATGGAATTCTTCGTGGATTATCTCTGGAGGCTAGTTTCACTACACCACTCCAAGCAGTCAATATTTGTATACAACTGCACACCAGCACCTGTGATATTCAGCATATTTTAATATTTACATGAAATTATGTAAGAGAATCTGTCTTGACTATAAGATTTTGACCAATCAAGAGCAGTGTTTTATAATTGGCCTCAGATGATTTGTTAAGAATGTCCACGCAAAGTTTTTTTCAGATCTGCCTTTTTTGGAATGTCGAAGCATTGAGTTTTTAAAATATGCTTTTGTGTATATATACATGTATTTCTATACATTTTGTAGAGGAAGTGTTCACTCCTGGGCCGCACGACTGCAGATGCGAGGTTTGGGAGAAGTGTGTGGTCGAGAGCGTTGGTCAGTGGACGTGCAAGTGCATCCATCCCCGGCAGTGTGAGGACGTTGCAGGCCAGCAGGAATACTGCGGGAGTGACGGCCGGACATATGCCAGCATCTGCAAATTGAAGGCTACTGCCTGTATACAAGAAAGAGACATTGAGATTGCTAGCAACGGATCTTGCGCAGGAGGTGAAATATTTTTTCAGTGGAGGGGATGCAAAGCAGCCCCCAAGTGATAATTTGGTCAATGAATTGAAAAATGTTTCTGGAATGTGCCCTTTTTCACTGAAATATGTGCCTTCTCCTTTGCATGTATGTCTTGTCTCACCAGAATGTACCAAGATCATTCAAATTTCTCAAAGTTTCCCAGAAGGGAGTGTTACCTGCCTTGGTGTCGATTTTGATGGTAGCCATTCAAGCTCCATGCATAAATTTGTTGTCGTTTGTGATTTACTGAAGTGTAATATTCACAAGAGCCTCCAATGCTTGGAAACCCACACCTTGTCTTGGTCCCACTTGGGGTCGATAGTCCTCTCTATCCTCTTTCCAAATTTCTGAGAGAAGGATCATATGTATAGAACCGCAACTTGTTCATCCCAGTCTTTAGACTAAAAGTAGACATGTCTCATTCTGTCAAAGGCTTGTCATTATTTTTTATGCGTAAATGGGTTATAATAAAATTCTAGTCAGCACCATAACCTTTTCTTTTTACTTTCATCAAACGAATTTTTTTCATTTTAGGAATTCAGCGACACCTTTCCTGAGATCTTCTTGGTAAATTTACCAACTAATACATAACTGCTCATTACGGCATCAGTTTAATTTTTTTTGGCAACAACAGAAAACCCAGAAGAACTTTCATCGTACATAGAGAGTTCCTATGAGAATTCGGAGTATTCAGTGGTTACTGAAGATAGTCATGGCGCAAGCAACGCTACTGAGGACTCAGCATCGGAGGACCACGTGGTTTATTGCAGGGACTGTCCCAACCCGGACCTCAGGACTGTTTGTGAAAACTCAACACATGGTATGCAAAGCCCACGTTCGCCAAAATGGTTTTCACATCTGGAAATATCCTTTTCCAGTTCTTTGCAAAGGAATGTTCTTCTCTGTCCTCACAGTTCTAGTGCATCGAGGGATTTGTATAAAGTGTTTGTTATAAAACCTCACCCACAGATTCTGTATCTTGATTGGATGAAAGCCAGTCATATGGAATTTACTCTTTTAGCTATCTTGTTCATGGCCAAAAGGAATGTAACTCCGTGTAGCAACCAATGAACTATATGCATAAAGACCAGCATTTTGTGTGCATTGGGTGTCAAACACATTCCGAATTGCTAGCACTACTGGCTGGGTTCAAACATCTTAAAAAGAGGTCATTGATAGAAAAGTGCCAGTAAATGAATCCCTTATTCCTAAGGACATATTTTTGTCTATTGAAATATGCAAATTAAGTAACTGGTTAAATTAAGCAGAGTATGCGGGAGAACTGTTATAAAACAAATATTGACTACTTTGCCTTGTGGCATAGTAAAACTAGCTTCTTTGATGATCCGTAGAGCATTCTATTTTCTTTCAGCTTTGCCTCGGAAAAATAGTATTCTCTACAGGGGTGATTTAAGGATTTTTCAACAATCTCTTTTGACATCTTGAAAGTCCCGAGTGTACCATTAACATGTTTTTACATACAAAAAGTGATATACAGCTCAAGCAATTGGTATCTTAGGGGTGTCTTGAGGCAAGTACAAATGTAAACCATAGACCCTATGCTGCTGTGGGGCCCTCAAAAACCACTAATGGCCATTTTGTGGATATTGTATTCTTCTCCAATCACAACCCTGTCTCTATGGATCACCTTGGGAGGCAAACGTTTCTACACCATTTGATGTAGTCAATGTCTGTATACCAGTCACATAGTCATGCCGGTAGGCTGAAGTTACAACATCAAATTTGGTGTATTCTAATGGCTGTACATGTACTTTTAAAAACCTATTGGAAAGATGTTCCATATTTGTTCATGACCAACGTTTTTGATTACCATGACATCTATTACTTCGACAGTGCCCACAGCCTACTAAGGGCATTGTCAAACTTACGCACCTGGTGTGGACTTCAAAACTTAAGAATCCACTGCCATGCAAGTTGTGTAAACCAAGCTTCACCTGCACAAAGTTTTCCCCTCTCTGAAAACAGATGGAGAGACATTTTGGGGGTCATATAACTTGAAACTGATTGCACAAAAGTAAACATCTCCCTCATACTGCTGTGCTTACTGAAGCAGACACTCCTTTAGTAACGCTTTTCTTCCTGCCTACCCAGAGTGGTTCATAGATGATGCTCTCTTTCTGTTTTTTTTTTCCCCAACTACAGCCTGCTTTTCCCCAACGACAGCCTACCCCATATTGTTGTACTAAGTGAAGCAGACACACCCTTGGTGACACTTTTCCTCCTACCCACTCAAAGTGGTTCATAGATGTTGCTTTCTTTCTTTTTTTCCCCCTGACTACAGCTTTTGCGGGCGTACCGACAAGGGTCCACTCATCACCATCGGGAAGCCTTGTCTACAGCTTGCGTGTGGAGAATGGAATTAAAGGACTCAATCACTCAAATGTCACTGTGTCAATTCAAGGCACTTTCAATGAAGTGAACCAATGTCATTGCCCCCGTATTACCCTGCGGCACGATGTTTACTTATTTGTTTGGCGACAGGTAGACAGTACAGCAGATTTCCAAATCTCGGGTGGCTTTGTTGGGCTGTGGTCCGACAATGAGGGAGGATACCATGAAATGTGCTAAAGTTGTGTCCAGGGCATTCACATTTTCCTTGTAAAGGGAGAATCGGCCTAAATGTTTAAGTATGTACATGTATATTCAAAACAGAACACAGTAAGATATTTTATAGATATATGCAATATATCTTTTTAATACGACCCTTGAAAATGCCTGTATGCATCCTAGTTAACCATATATTCGTTGGCAGTGTCTTCAGAAAAATTTGAGAGAGCTAGCCTTGTTCGTACCAAACAAATTAGAATGGTTGTACCAAATATATTGATACCATATTGTTATGGAATCAAGGGTGTGAAAATTGAGGTTTTTGGCTGATTTTTAGCTTTTTTGTTTTGTAGTTGACCCTGAATTTAAACTTTTTTCTATACCTGCCGTGTATCAACGGATGGGGACTTCTTACATTTCAGCTTTTTGCTAGCTGTTTTCAGCTTTAATTTCAGGTGGCCACTCGCACCCCTAAGGAATACTCAGAAACCAAATATTTGGAGATAAAAATCACTGAAACAAAGAAGGAAACATACTATCATTTGATTACTAATTTGAATTCTAAGCATAAATCAAGGTGGTCGGAGTAAAGGTTGAGGTAGCTCGATGCTTTTGACCAACAACAAGGCTAAACAATTCCTTAAAGATTTCTTTTTACTTTTTGCAGGAACATTCCTTTTTGTTTCTGTTTTGTGGCCATAAATATTCAAATATCAATCTAATGGAACATCGGATATTTAAACATCCAATTCTTCGAATTGACTTCTTCTTGAAAAAGTACATGAAAAATGAGAAGAATTCCTGAGAAGAATGGCTCATAGTAATCCCCTTTCCTACCCAAAAATATACACTGTAGTTTTACTGTGACACAAGTGACAATTTTTGTCAGTGTGTAAGACTTTCGCTTCCCAATGAATGTGCCTCCAAGTATCCAAATGTGAAATCTAACATACATCTGTATCTTGCCGTCTGAGAATTTGAAAGAGAAGACAAACTGTATTACTGAAAGTTAGCAATCCGTAACTGCCATTATTTTAAATGAAGCATCTGACAATAGTATCACATAATCAGAGTGGCCACAGCTTTTGTAACAGTTGCCAGGAATTGCATTAAATGTTCTTTTGTTCACTTAACTAAGTGGCTCGTTGATAACGTCAGTCATTCATTCTTTATTGGGTTTGGATTCCCGTTTATCTCCATTATCCCGGGAATACCAGCTAAAGTGTTGTTTTTTTCAATGGGGAACCTGACTTGAATAAAGGTAGTAACCGTTGACAATCGTGGCTCTGGAGGATTTTGTCATTTTTCGAAGGGAAGCAAGCCCAACATACATGTACAAGGGAAGCTTCCACAAGGCGTGAAGACTCCTCTTTAGACTACATGTAGTAATAAACCAGTCTACGGGTTCTACCTACTCAAACAGTCACTTCATATGCAAATTTCCCATATACGTATTATTTACTAGCAGATAAGATTTGATCACCCGTGGAGGACCCTGATCTCCCACAATGCAGCGCGGCCTCGCCGCCATGATTGTCGTTCTTTTCTCAGCGCTGTAACGTAACGGACGTGTCTTTAGAGGCATCTTTGATTTATCGAGCTTCCGTTTTCGCTACACGATTCTGTGTCAATTTGATCACCTTTCCTTCCTTTGTAAATAAAGTGTAACCTGGATTTTATCCATTTATTGGTAAGAGTGTTCTTGCGTGTATATTTTTGTGTTCTTTCTTCAGTTTTCTTGTATGTGCACCCAGCGGGTGCTTACCGTCGGTACTTCGAGGTTCGTTCCAGCTTGGTTGTGCCTAACCTACCAAGGAATTGTAGGCCTTAGCCGGTTGAATTCAGGGGGTGCTGTCAGGATCTGTCGTACTCCCCTGCCTTCTCCGGCTTCCAGGACGAGGAAAAGGCCTTGCCGTCGTCCAGGGGGTTCCAGCCAGGATCTGGCCAGGCCCCTGGTTCGTTCGGCTCCACGGAGCTGACGGGGAAGTTCTGTGGTCCACTGCGGAAGACCCTAGCAGGGACAACGCCAGGATCTGGCAAGACCCCTGTCTCCTTGGTCGATTGTTGGCCTGGCAAGCCAGCCGGGACTCTCAGAGACCACCCCATCACACCACTACGGGGCCCGTCCTACCATCATCGTGAGGCACGCCACGCCTTTCGCCCGACATGGTCCAGAGGAATTCCAGCCAGCGTTCTCTGGCGCCGCCGAAGAGTGCCATCCGCCGTTCGACATCGGCCTGGAACACCACTGCTCTGCCCCCCCCCCCGCGTACTCCATCTCGCCATATACCGAAGTCACCGGTCGGACGGGCTCTCCGCAAGTGCCGGGGCCTGCCCCGCCTGGTGCGCCGTGGAGCTACATGAAACCCCAACACCTGCTAATCCCTCTTTGGGTCCCGCGGAGCATACCAGGGTTTTTAACGCCTCCGGGGCTTCAAGCCGCCTTAGCCTATCCGCGGCTCCGGCTTTCAACATCACCAGCATCACCAGGTCATCAGACCTCATTTCTCCTGGCCCCTCTGCCCGGATTTCTGCAGTTCCCGTTGACCTCGACCGGTAACGCACCCGGGCGTTCCGCCTCTCGCGGCCCCGTCTACTGCCAGGCCGCCCGCCGCCCAGGCTTCAAGCCATCTCAGCACATCTGTGACTTAGGCTTTCAGCTAGACATCATCGGGCCTCTCTTCTACTGGTCTCTCTGCCCAGAATTCTGCAGTTTCCGTTGACCTCGATCGGGAACGCACCCCGCCCCCGTCTGCTACCTCTGCCGTCGGGCCGCCCGCCACCGGAAAAGGCAAGCGCTTCTCGTCTTCATCAAAATACTTCTTCCACCACGAACATACTTCTGCGGCTTGAATGTCGGCCTTCCAGTCCATCAGTAAAGTTCTGACCTCTATCACTCGTCGCCTCGGCGTTAGACCGCCATCAGCCTCCACCGCCCCAGACCCGTTTCAGGCGGACCAGGCCCTTCCGCCCTCTGCGGCCGCGAGCCATGATTACATCGGGCAGGGTTCCACACCTGAATCGCACCAGCCGGGCATACTCCCTCGGGAGCAGGCCGCTCCGTGTCCCCAATTGGGCAACCAGCATTGTCTTCCGAGAAGAACGAACTTGATTCCATCAACGCCCTCACTCAGTTCGATTGCTTCTGTCTTCTTCGGTGAGACATGATTCAAGTGCCGTAAGCCGCTTTGCCAGAGGAACACATCAGCCACGACTTGTTTAAACGACATGGCATGACTGGTATCTCCCGGGCCAATTTTTCCAAAACTCCCGCTTGATCGTTCATGCGTGGGGATATTTTAGTCTCTAGCCAGAACTTGGCACGCGTCCGAGTCCACTCCAGCCTGACGGTCCTCCGCTTAACCACCCGCCAATCTATGGGGCACCCTCAGTTCTCGAATGTAGCACGGCTTTACTTCAGTCGAAGCAAAGTCACCGTGTCTTTGGTTGAAGATGACACCGATGTTATCGGCGTCCTCTGCCCCACTTTTCCAGGTGGTTGTTATATGCAAATGCGACCTTGCATCTGACATATCTACGGCGTGGGCATCCAGACGTAATCCACACGGTAACACTTTCCGGACCAACTTCCTGGATCGTAGCTCCGGTAAATACGCCATTTTAGTAACGGTACAGCCATAACTGGATGGGACGTCATCTGCCCACCTTTCAACTTTGTGACAGCAGATTTAAGCATTTTGTTATGTTCGTCGATAGTCAGGCTTTGGCTCTAGCTAATGCTCCTGTGAGTGCTATAACAGACTTCCTCTTGTACATTTACTTCTTTCACTCGGAGCTACAAGTATCTACAACTCATATCTACAGGTCAGCCCAAGTTACCATACATGTTGGTTTCAAAATCGGTTCAACTGCCCTTAACAACATGACATTCTATCACCTTTTGTATGATATGTTTATCCAGTGTCCCCTTGTTGGGAAACTGGTCTAGCCATAAAACGTCAGCTAGGTTTTCTAGATGCTTTCTGGTCCTTCCTTTGAACCCTAATAATGCCTGTTTTATGCACACCCGTGTCAGGTTGGCCCTTCTCCTGAAAATGTTTATCCCCTGAGGAGGCAGCAAACTATAGGCTCTCCGCATTGCCGATTGCCATCTATGGTGGGAACTGCATGGTGTTCACTTCATTCCTTCGATTGGCTTCCTGACGAAGGATCATACTCCCTCACCTGATCCTTCTAATATCTTTACACTCTCCGCCTCCTTACATTCTGGAGACGATGCTGATAAAGTTTGGGGCCCTGTTCGTGTCCTGAAGTGGTACCTGACTAAAACGATAGCATGAGAGGGACGATATTAAACCTAACCCCCCAGGGTGTATGCAAAATCATATTGAAATCCGAGAATTTGGGACTGTTGGGGTTAACTCCGCCAATTTCATGAGACCACACTGTCCAGCGGTGTCGGTACACTATTACCTGCTTGGCAGCTTCGGCCATTAAATTTGCTAACCCAGTCTAGCCATTAAGCTTTGATAAACATAGTCATTACTACATCAGGGTTCATGACGTAAGAGCAGTATCTACATCTTGGTCTTACTCTCGAGATGTTTCCATTGCAAACATCTGCAAAACTGCAAGTTGGAAGTCTTCCCCTACCTCCTGCTATTTGGGGGATGTCCTGCAGAGCGACATCGCAAATGGCAGGACAGTCCTACTATCTGCAGCGCAGAGGTCAAAGGGACCTCTTGTAGGACGGACGACAAGTCATTCTGAAGTTTTTTTACCACTTTTTAAATTTATACACTCCTCCTTGTTTACATGTAAAAGTCTATTCTCGGCATTAGATGTGTTGTTGCCATCTCCCCACCTAGACCGGTGCTACTCTGCATACGTAGTGACTGTTTTGGTAGGTGGAGCGCCGCAGACTCCTTCCCCACATTAAGTGTGGGTCAGGTCTACTTGAGAATACCTGCCCAAACAGTCCTCTCCTGCCCGTCCTCCCCACTCCGGCTCCGACCTTTTGAGTCGCTTTCGAAAAGGACAATCATGGCGTCGAGACCGCGTTGCATTGTGGGAGGTCAGGGTGCACCATGGGTGATCAAATCTTTTCAGCGAATTAATAATACGTGCATGGGAAATTTGCATATGTAGTGACTGTTTGAGTAGGTATTCTCTAGTAGATCCGACTCACACCTAATGTGGGGAAGGAATTTCCAACAGGAAAGTACAGACTTTCTCCCCAAAATGTTGTGTAATAAATATCGCCTCGGAAACAAACGGTTGGCTCCCCCTATAAAAATCCCGGTCATAAGCGGAAGACAAGGGAGGGGGCAGGTCGCCAGACCCACCTTCATTCTACCACCCACCCATCCTCCCGACTTGCTCTCTATACTTTATCGTTCTCAAGGGCACCAGGCTAACACATTACTGGAAATCAAGTGGCGACCTTTTAACTTTTGAGAGTCAGCGACCGGATAGACAGTTGATTTACAGCAGGTTAAGACATCATCATATAGTGCCGCCACCGTAAACAAGTGGCCCCCTGGAGTGACAGAAAGCACCTGCATCACCCGGTAGCCCACCGTGTATTAGAAAGCAGCCGCAAAATGTTCCATTTCAAAGACTCAGAAAGATTAATCATAAAGAAGGAAGCACAATATAAAACAATATAATTTTTTTTTCAAAATGCTACTCTGTTAGATTATAAGTTCGACATTGTGTACCAAAGGTCGTGGTTACCTTTAATTACTAAAATGAAATTAAAAACATTGCTGATTAGCTAACACACAATTTCCATTACATGTATTTAGATACAGGTTTTATTTAGTCAATAAAAACTTGGACAGGGTTGAGATGCCTGTTGTATTAAAGGTGATGTTTTTCAGCCAAGATTGTCGATTTTGTAAAACATAACATTACAAATAAAAACATAAAGAGGTGGCTCCGGCCAAGAACTGGAACGTCCTTACTAATCATCGATACCTACTAGCAAGACTTTTTAAAAATCAAAATCGAATGACCTAGAGTCTATTCCCTGTAAGCGGCTATCTGAACCTTACATGACACGACCTAACCACCCCAGCAATTCATTTGCGTTTACCATTTTACAGCACCGCACAATAGCAACCAGGCATCCACAAACAATAGTCAAAACTAAACACTTAACCCTATCCAACCTGCTTACCTCGACATGTTTCCAAAATGCGCAGCTCAGTTCTTGGCAGAAGTTTGCTTTCCCATGTGTACACCAACGACTCCTTAAGGATATTATATTTTTTGTAGTGATAACTGATTTACAGTCAGTTTGCCAGATAGATCTCCAAAGAGAAGATACCAAGAACATACAGGTTAAGGCCAACCGCATCCGGGTTTGAAAGTGGTTTTACCAGGAAAGAGAAAGAGACAGACCGATGGATGGGGGAGGTGGTGACCGTAATTCTGACATCCAAATGTCATGTCACGAATATAAGGTTAATTTAGAAAAGGTTAATTTTTACCGAGAGCAAAAAGGATTATGATTGTCTTTTGAGTTTCTAGACGGTGAATTCAGAGGAATTGCTGTATTGCTTCGCACAGAGGATTGTATATTTTTGAGGTGTGGGGAACGATGTGCCATTCGTGTAAAATGGCAAATTCATTTTGTCCATAGAAACTGGAATTGCTTGTAAAGAGCATGGTACCCTTTTCTTGGATATTGCCGACGTGTGGGTGGTTGGCATCTTTAAACCAAACCTGGGAGGGGGGAGGTGTGAAAATATGGTTGATATTTCGTTTTGCCTATCTATTTGGGATTGTTATTCAAACTAAGTCTGATGTTCTTTCAAGCCAATGTTTGAGGTGACTGCACGGATCAGGGGCAGATACAGATTTGTCTACGAGTGGGGGTGGAAACTGGTAAGAAAGTGTACTGTGTACTGTACTGGAGCGTGATCGTAGACCGTAAGCAAATCTTGAACCATAACCATAAGTTTACATAGGCTACAACAAGAGTTTTATGTGTAGACAGAGTTACACCTGGGAGCATATTCGGAAAAAGTTGGTAGGTGCCTTTAAGAGACCGATACATAACACGTAGGCCTATCCAATCTGTGCGCTGAGGTCCCTTTAATACTAGAGGCGACACTTCTGGTCACGGAGGAAGGATGCAGAAGGAGTTACAACTCTGGCACATCAAAGTGGTCGATGATCATCGCCGCCCGGTCAGACGAACAATAGTAAATATTCCCAAAATGCCTGGTTACTGCCTGCAGCTTAGCCGGACAATTGGGGCCAGTAATTAATATCCAAGCAATAAGTTTGTGGAGTTTTCTTTGCAATTAACTGCAACTTGTCGCAGTGACCGGGAAATAGAAAGAAAATATCTAGCATTAGATTTACTTTTGCCGTCGTGAATAATTTTTTTAAAAAGATTTTGATGCACTTTTCCAATATCCATGCAATGTTTGTAATTTTATTTTGTCACTCCGAAACATCAGTTTCTAAGACTGGCCAACGGCATGTTGACCACAACAGGACACTTAAGTTTACAAAAAAACAAAATGCGCTGTTTCATCACAAAGAGTGATCAAGAAATCTCATAAAATACCTTTTTGTGTAAATTCAGTAATAAAAATGATTCAAATAACACACAAGATCTTATAAATAACATGGCTATTTATTCCTAATATAAGTCCAGAAGAAAGCGTTCGATAAGGGCAGTAACTGCACATGAAAACAAATGGCAAACAGCCGAATACAAGCAACTGCGCAAGCATTAAATTATGTTGTTGTCAGATCATACCAGGCACCAACGATTGCATGAATATTCAACTTCCTATACTGCAATACGCAATGTTTTAAGGATGCAGATTACCAGCGAAAAATTGTGGAGATGATCATAGGGACCAAAGGGGCTTATGGTTGTGAAACAGGTGGTGCGTAGCAAGCATACGCGTTCTGGCTGTTGACATACCGGCATAACAGAAAGCGGTAATTGGCCAGATGATGTAGCCTGGGTAGTTCAAACTCCTTCTGTGTCCTTCCTCCATGCTTCTTCTGGTCGTCAAGTTCGTGACTTCGTGCAGCATTCTGCCGCAACAGTGCTGCAAGCATTGATACTGGCCTTGCAACCCGGACCGTCGTGTGGTGCTCTCAGATCATTCCATGTGAATTGTTCAATATCCAGTTTTTGACACGCAGTATTGAGAAAAGTAGTTTCATTAGACTGATTACAGTCGTCTGAGATCTAGGAGGGTGGGTCAAGATGGACTATTCCGTCGCAAAGACTGTCATCAGTTTTACGGTTCTACTTACAGCAGCGTCATGCTCAGGTAAGGCCATTTGCTTTGATTTCATAGCCGCCTAATTTACAGAATGAAGCCTACTTTTTAAAAACTGTGTGGTCTCGATCTTAATTGAAATCGACCAGCGACGCACGTACACAAACACGACATCATATCATGCGTCGTTCTTGTGTTTGATTTCACACAGATTTATTGATAATGGGCTTTTAATAGATGCCTGAGATGTGTAGGCTTCGAAGGTCTGTAGTCCTTTCTGTATTGTTAAAAAGTCAGTTCATGGGACAACTTACGTGGGGGTGCATTCCGCCCCCAGCAGCAGCAACTTAGTCCGAAGAAATCGGCTTTGCAAAATTAATTTTGGTCCTTCATAAGCTCACATCATGCAGTTCTTGTTACAGAACCAGAAAGCAGTTGTAACCATATTTGAGATGAAAATTGCCCTCTGGTATGTCACGTCCAGTAGTTTTGCAAGCACATCAACTTCAGGCTACCTTTCCATGGACCATGCTGGCAAGGGACCAAAACCAGACGTTCTTTGACTTGCGTTAAAACGAATACACAGATTTTATGTATCACTTTTTGCTGTTACGGTCCTCTCCTGGGTGTAACCCGCCAACAGACTCACATGTGGATCCGTGATCATAACGGTTTAAACAACTTAAGACACAACCTTCCACCGTACTAAGAAAAATTACAGTGAAAAGGGGCAGAGGTATAAGTGCAACACTTAGTCTTCAAGCTCCTGAGGCACCCTGCCAATGAATCAACATTTATATTGTTCGCTTTAGTAACGGAAAATGGCCGTCGTCCACTATACAGATAAAGAGTTAATTCCAAAACAAGACAAGCGCCATTTCCATCCTTCTCTGAATTTCACCTCTTCTTCGTGGTTAATTAGTTACCTCCAGCCAGCTCCTTCAGGTTTTACTAAGGAAGGAGCTACTCAATGAGTCAGAACAATGAAAACTAATTAGGGAGACCTGGTACATGTACATACTGTAGGCCTATTTGTTATTCGAATATTCAACAATTGTGGAAAGATTGCTCACGTGTTTCGATGGTGTATTTGTATATCTCATTTTAGAATGAAACCCTTCATGTGGTAATTTGAGATTTGTACCTGTCGGCATGGGGGGAAACCCCGGAAGATTCCCTGACAAAACATTGTGCTGGGGTCAAAGTGCCACCCATCCTTTATTCTGACCTGGCTCAAAGTGGGTGTGTGGAGCGGGGCATCCAAACTGTGGGGGCAGACGTAAGATTCCACGAACTAACACGGTAGCAGTGAGTAAACAAAGTCATAATCAAAGGAAATCTGTCTTTATCGCATTTTGAATTTCCTTTTTTATTGCATATTCCCCGAACTGAGACTGATTTAAACATGCATTCACAATTTGAACAGAAAATATCAAATGGAATGAAATCACTTTTTTGGGAGGTTCATTAGAGAACTTGTTGATTTATTTCATTTGTCTTTCCACTTGGTTTGTTTTTGCATCTTGCCACGGATCAAACAGTTGTTGGAAACAAATCCATAAAAATAAAATTTGGCCGAATGATCATGATTCTAGTTAGATACATGTATATGGCCTGATTACAAAAGGTTTCCACTTGCACATTATAAGACATGTATAAAAAGATTATTAGATAGATTGCTGGTGGTTGATTTTGTCACAGAGGTGATATGTCCATCAATTCTTGAGAGTGAAGCAGACATCGAGCATCTGCAGAGCAATATGGAGAACAGGAATTACAGGTTGGGGGAGGTGGTGGACTACCACTGTGATGCAGGCTATCGCATCCTTGGCAAGACCTGGAGAGAATGTTCAGGACCAAGTTTGGATTTCCCCAACCAGACATGGTCAGATCTCGATCCGATCTGCTCAGGTACATTCTCAGTACATCTGAAGCTACAACAGAAAAATACTCCACCAAAAGATGTAAACTTTCCCTCCATATTGGCCTCTCCACTCACTTAGCTATTAAATTGTTACGATAAAGCTTTATTTACAGACAAGGTTTCGCCTTTTTACCTTGCACTAACATAAAATTTCGAGTCAAAAGAGCAAGGCTCCAGTAAAGAATATATGAATATTTGCTAGTCTGTCCGTTTTGCAAGTCTAAATCAACTTGATTAAGGAATTCTGCTGAATTCTGTGAGTCTGTTAGTGTGGTTTTGACCTTACGTCCGCGAACTTGTGCACGACCATTGCTCTCAAACCTTTAAAATTGGTTGCAGTATTTTCAAACTAGCGTGCAAGTCTCATACAAATAAACATGGATGCCATCAAAAATCTTTAAACAATTTTCATGTTTCGATCAACAGAAGTTGAATGTCCAGACCCGGGCGACATCCAATTTGAAGCCGGTAGGTACTTGGAATCTACAAACGTTGGAGGAAGTGTAAGGTTCAGTTGCCGGTCCGGCTACAGCCTCCGAGGATCAGCGGTTCGGTTCTGTCAACCTGATGGGATGTGGAACGGCACGCTCACAACGTGTGATCATGAGAGTAAGTCATGTGATGCATCTCAAATTGGTAACCACGGAAGCGATTTCAAAAAGCCAAAAATCGATCAAAGCCCTAGTTGAGCAGTGAGGTAGAAATGCAAGCCAGTTATGATGGCTAAAAGTGGCTTAGACGTACGAACACTGGAAGTTGTAAGCACCTTCACTTATTTCCGAGTTCGACCGATACAAAGATTGAGGGACATGTCTTGGAGGCCGGGGTCAAGGGGTGTATTTGGTGTACCTATTTCATTGTGACATGTCTAACACCCGTTTCAGACAGGTGCTCTAGAGTCAGTCGCGCCGAACCAAAATAAAAGCAAATTTCGACACTTGAGGGCGCTCGGAACGACACCAGGGCGCCTTGATTTCAGACGTCGCTCCTTTCATTGGCCTAACCCAATGTCAATGTACATGTATGTATTAGGCCTAAATTCGTCTGTTTGAAACTAATTCTATTTGGTTTGGCGTGACCCCAGAACACCTGTCTAAAACGGGTTTCAGTTTCTTCGGTACGTCACAACGGTGGAGTGATTCAAAGAACATAAATGCACTTGATTCGCCCAAACAATAACGGCCAAACACTACAAAATCATCGCTTACGAGTAGAAAAAAAATCAACAAATAAATAAAAATATGTGAAATAAATGGAGGAATAACTTGTCAAAAATGCTATGAGACAATTAGGTACACGGATTCCTTGTGTTAGATGTGCCATAATCCAATCATTATCTTTTGTGAGTGGCATCATACGTGTTTCTTTTTCGCAAGTACATTCCTGGAAACCTTTTCCTAGATGATTAAATCAGAGCAAACAAAACCTCCACTCAATGTAGCGATAATGACAATGACAATACGCGCGATTCACAATAGTGCACCTCCAAGAGTTTGCAACGCGTTGGCCAATCACAACGCGCAACCCTTTCCAAACGTGCTTTGGGTCGACAAATTTCGCACATTGTGATTGGCTAACGCATTGCAAACTCTTGGAGGCGCACTATTGTGAATCACCCGTATTAAGGGCACAACATTTCAGCAATGATGTCTGACAAAGTTGTAACTAAAGTTGTAAACTAAGGATTAGGATGGTTATTCCCTGTAAAATTAGGTGACGAAGACCTTCACATCTTTATAATATTAATGTTTTACGCTAGGAATTGTATAAATTACATGAATTCTCCTTCAGGGGACAGACCCAGTACAAGCTTCGGCTTTTTGTCTGACCTCCCCATACAATTATAAATTAAGTTTAAGTTTTGTTAACTTCTATATTATTTACTTGTATACATAAACCTGAAACCAGAATATTGCATACACAGGCCACAGAACTGGTAAAGTACAGGTACGTTTGGCGTGAGATTTTGAGTAGGATTTCACACATTTTTGGGGGGCGTTGCTGAAAGCTTGTCACCTGAGCTGTTGCGTGTACACGAAGGCAGTTCATGTTACATATTCAGAGGGGAGAGGGGCACACACATATCTCCCCCACGTACCCCCCCCTTCGGTTTACGCCAATGGGACTGTGGTAGCATTGCTTTTATTCTTGACCAAGCTAAAGCAAATCAGAGGCGCTTGTCAAAAGGTAACAGGGCCATGCATGTTTAGTGCAAACGGGACTATGGATATAGCGCAGATATTGTCACAATCTTGTTCTTTCGACAGGTTTCTTCTGCCCAAACCCCGGTATTCCCATTGGTGGGCGAATGGTCAATGCACACAAGATGCGTTTCCGAGAGGGAGAAATAGTCTCCTATGAATGCAAGGGAAACAAGGTGTTGATTGGATCGCGTCAGAGAGAATGCCTCAAGACCAGAGCTTGGAGTGGGGAGCCACCAACCTGTCAAGGTTAGACACTTTAAAAGGACTGTGTCACACAAACCAATGTGCAGGTGAATGTGGCCAGGCCCGAAGAGCGATCGATTGTTTCTCAAATAGAGCAAAACCTACTTCCATGTTCCCCCAGTTCTCTCGTCAAGTACTGCTCTCCACGTTGTTAATGGAAATTGCTTTATGGGACCTGGCCATCGTAAGACGGTTTCAGTTTGATACAAGATGAAGATTAGTTCAAAAGGAGGCTTTTTGTTTAGGTGTCATTTTATGGTATGCACATCGGTAAAGGCCTGTGTTGTCAGTACATTAACTTCAATTCATAAAGATAATTTAGGCTATCCCTTTGGACGAGAGACTGTCACGTGGCCGTTCTTAAACAGTTGATAAAACATCAGCTGGCTATGCACCACCTCACGCATTACGCACTACGTGCTCACCAATCTGCTACATCGCGAGAGGAACATACCAAAACCAATATAAAGGAAAATTAGAGGCCATAATCGACGAATAGTTTGTAAGTTTTTTAACTTGTTTTGAATTCGTAACTCAAAAGGTAGTGTAGGAATACTAGGTCGGTCCTGAGCGGTGACTTAAGACCGGCTCGGGAGAATGGAAAATGGCAATGTATCCCGCCTTCAGTTTTGTTTGTTTCAGCGTCCCCAGCAGAGCACATGTTATTCTCTTGATTTCTGTACCAAGCATCTCCCCACAGGACCCTATGACTTTGAAGACACCCTTAAGATAGCGTCAAGGTTTGGCCGTGAAATTGAGGGCATTGTAGCAGATCTTCAAGCTCCCATCATCGATCAGAGCCCCAAAGACCGCCGACGCAGGTTCATAGATCCTGGATACACTCAAGGAATGGACATCTACTTCGTTTTTGATGCCTCAGGCAGCATTCCAAAAGCTCACTTCCGGTATAGTTTGGACCTTGCTAAAGCCCTTGTCAGCAAGGTAAGTGCATGCAAAACGAAATTGCTGAAAAATATCAATTTTTAGACTACGAATTCCGTGAAGTAATTTCTAAGATCTTAAAGGTAAGTGCAGAAGTACTTAAAAGCACAGTCGATAGGCCTGTAAACATCAAAAAGTGATGGAAATAATAATGACCACATTTGTACAGGGATCTCTAACGTCTATAAAATAAATGACATTTTATTTTGTACAGGGATCTCTAATGTGTATAAGCTGTAGTTGTATGCATATAAGTTCAAGACTTTTGTTTCCCACAATTGTGGCGGTGACATTCAAGTTTTGTGGGAGGGGTTGATGATGTGGGCCTTGTTTACGGTCAGACAACTAAACGTTCACTTCACCAAACGTCTGTCGTTCATCAAGGAAGTTTGGCAACTGTTGGTCAAGCATTCAACATAGACTTTCTTTGTTGTAGTTTTTGCTTTGCTTGTTTACGTTTTGGTAGTTGTCTACTTTGTATTTTGTTCATTTCAAGCAAAAGCTGCACAGGGAAATTGTGATTCGCGTTGGGAGTCTGAACCACCAGACATTTTGTGTACTACATATAATTGAAAGCATCAACACTTTGCACGGCTCTAGAGTATTTGGGTTGAGGGAGTGAAGATTAAAACAAAAAGTTGACCTATAGTTTAAAAAAAGCCACATATCCCATCCCAACATTTGGATATGCTACTTTTAAATGTTGCCACAATGCAGTGTGTTGGTAACGTTTTGAGGGCTGAAGAAAGCTGCCGTTTGGGATTTCTTCCGCAACTGATGGGAGAAATAAGATTTCAGTGTTTTACAGTGATACTTTTCAGAACAAACCCATACTCTAAAAGCTTCAGATTGACCCAGAGTTGGGTCCCATTGCGTGACCCTTTTCCGGGTCAAATTATGACCCCAAAAGGGTCAAATGTGACCCAGAAAAAGGGTCACATTTTGACCCAGAAAAAGGTCATGCCGAATGGGACCCAATTCTGGGTCAATCTGACCTGGGAGTTTTTAGAGTGCACGTAATGATGTCTGGTGCTCACATGCACGTGAGCAGTTAATTGTATCGAGGGAACCCCAAACATGGCCATAGAAATGCATAATACAAAAGATTTCAGTCTGTTGCCCAGACAATTAAAGAGTTTAATTTCCTTAAAATAAGATTTTGCCTTTACGTTGTCTTTGTGTAGGTTGGCGGAGCGGATGGTCCTCGGCGTGCTCGCTATGGTGCCTGTGTGTTTGCCTCTTGGGCCCAGATATCATTTCTTGTCTCTGACCCTCAACCATCTGTGGAAATTGTGCTTTTACTGATTGACGGATTGATTGATCAAGTTAACCCGGAGGAAATAGGTAAACCTGAGCTGTAGCACCAAGTAATGCATGCGTGTCCATACAAACGTACATAATCATCGTAGGCGGCACATCTGCCATCTTTAGCTCATGCTGAACAGCCTGCCTTCACACTGCGGTTGTGTCAGAACCAACGAGTTCTTATTGTCATGTGTCAAAAACTCGGGTTCCCCTACCCTCTGACACGCAATTTGTACACGGCAAATTACACGGTACACTCAAAGAGATTGTTCAACTTCAAATTACATTGAAAATTAATTTATTTACAAATATAATCAGATCCAAAATTTAAAAAAAACCTTGGGTTTCATAGAAACTAGAATGCGGATTGGCTGTTTAGTAATTACTGCAAGCCCAGATTCGGACAGTTCAAATATAGCCAGTCACCTGTCTGATGCGCAGATACTCTTACGTGACTCTCAGCGGATCCTTTAAGGATGATGCAGGTGAGTCAGGGCTTGACTAAAGAGCAGGAGACAGTAGGCGTGTCCCCCCGGCGGACTTGCTGTCCCTATCCGACAAATGTAGGACCTGGCTCAATGGTGTAAAGGTACTGGACGGGGTCCAAATACGGGAGCTCCGACTCCGTAATAAGGAGCCCTGGAATATCAAATAATCAAACCTACGTTCACTAATACACATGTAAATCATATGGTAAACATTTATGCACCATTTAACCATACTGCAAATTCTCCTTACCCAAAAGGAGAAGCTTCATCATTAAAACGGTCACTAAAATTGGCTTTTGAGCTCCCCGTTGTCACAGCCATATACAGAAATAGCACGTTTTTATAACAAAGGAAAATACTGGTTAAATATTATTAAATAATTTAAAAGATCTCTTACAGTATATACTGGCTGCTGAGGTCTTACAATACACTGGGACTTGTCACAGCCTGCCTTTTCTCCTCAAAATTGGGGCAGCAAATCGCTCACCAAACTAATGGCTACCGCCAACACTGGATTTCCAATCCACATCAACAAGGCTTAGTAAAATTCTAATGGCTAGAGTTATCGCTCAAACTTGTGCTACAGCACCACAGGCCTGTCGGTCTTTGCCACACAGAACCACGCCCCAGTACAAGGCTACTACTGCTGAACATCGCCTCTCTGAGCTCTACAGAGAAAGACGAGTGAAATCAGCTGAATGAAAGTCGCCAGTAAAGTTTCAAGTCGGTTTAATTTATTTGGCTACTCAGACAAGACCTACTGAACGAACACACTACATGTGGTACAACAACACAATGCTGGCCTTCTTCTTTGCGGTAGGCCATAGCAGACCGTTCGGTACGTGACATATAGTTTTTAACCCCAGATATTGATTACGATTTTGTCGAGAATCGATAACAAACAGTGTACTGGATTGCCAGAACACAAGCGATCTACCCCACAGGGTTCATTTATTACCTCGATCTTTCAACACGGTTAGTGGTGTAATTTCTATCGCGGGTGTATCGGCGTGAACTTGAGTACGAGGTTGTTCAGCCGCACTTAATTCGTTATTTCATCATGCATAATAAATTATGCTGTGGGCGACAGTGAACACACACTGGTTGTTGCAACCGCCGTGTTCTGTTTACATCGTTCATTCGTGTTAACTTGACCGATTTCGCCATAATGTCAGAGTAATGACCTGCTGTCGTGGAGCTCAATATGCAATACCAGATAGAAGTGGTCCTCTTAACGTTCTTTACATTTTCCTCATGCTATCAGTTCTTGTATGGTTATATAAGTAAGCCAGTGCCCATTAAGAAGTAGTTTTTCTCTCGAGATCAGAAATCTGATTCGTGTGCAGAACAGCATCAGCGCGAAGAAAAATACGGAACAATCTGTACAAGTGCGAATACGACGGTTCCAAATTCTGCATTGCCACAGCCTGGCACAGGTACGACGGGGGGCCCGGAGACCCCACAGTTTCACATATTGCCCACGATAGCTTTGTGGAAGATCTCTTTGGGATAACGTCAAAGCAAATTGCTCCTCCCTATATACTTTGTCGATGAAGACGTCAGTGAAAATAAACGCATTTTGAGGAAGTAATTGAGTAGGCCTTAATTAACCGAATTCGTAAAACTTGTGGCGTAACTAAACAGTTGTTATTACCTGTTGTGGCAGGGTCCACTGCTTTTGTACACCCTTGAGTGAATAAACCACCATGGGCCCCAAACAGCATATAATACTTGTGTGTTGTAACTGTAGGAGAACAGACTAAAGAGTAGGACAGAAAAGAAAGGGGAAAGGCGTCCTTACTGTACAAAGCTTAATGTAATAACACTTGTCGTTTTAGCTTGGTATACATGACATCCGTTGTCTACAACTGAACCGTTACTATGTCAGGTACTCCTTTGTCAGCCCTTAATCGCACGTGACAATTTTTTTTTTGTGGGGGCGGGTATTCCCGGGCGTGTGTGATCACGCCAGTGCTCTAGTCGCATTCCTAATATAATTTTGACATTTTCTTTGTGAAGGACAGGGAACAGCAACTGGCAAGGCACTCCAGCTTGTTCACGAAACCATGATACCAGCTGCTCATGACAGGCCAAATGCAAAGAAATACCTGTTCCTCTTCACTGATGGTAAGAGGGGTCTTTCATCCAAAATAATCAGTGGATATCATTTGTCCGTACATCAAATTAATCCACAGTCCGCATGTGCTGCCTTTAGCCACAGTACGTATGGGTCCACGATGAAAGAAGGTTACAAACTCGTGTTTGCACCTACGCGCCCACCTCGAAGACTTCTTTTTATGGCCCTATGAACAAAAGCAAGACCTGTGACCAAGAATGGTAGTAGCTGTCTTCATGCTAACACCTTCCAATCAAGGGCAGTGGAAACTAGGTTTGCATACATACATGTTCAAGACAGGAACGCAGGCTAGGTCTTCCGCAAAGCACGCAGCTGGCCTAAGATTGTAGGAATGGGCAGGAGGGAGGGTAGAGCAGGCACAAGATCGAAAGGTATGAGTTTCTATGGATTCACCTTGTTTTGTTTTTGTGAAAGCAATTTTGCGCTTAATGAAAACATTGTAATTGGGGAAGTCACAAGTAATATCAATGAAATAAACCCAGCGTATTGTAAGACATAATTGTGAAGGTGTAGTTATTAAATTGTTATGAGCGATGAATTACATCAGTTACAATTTTTTGACCACACTCCTAACTTGCGCTGAAGCTTTCACAGGCCAATGAGCCTATTCGCGCTGGCTTGTGTAAGCTTGTCCAAAAGCCAGAAGACTTAGTTCGTTGCCAGGAAATTACCAGTAAGTAATTATAACGCGCTCAGGTTGGTTTAGACTTACAAGGTTAATCCACGATTTTTACACCCGTGCCAGACAGGCGTTCTAGGGTCACGCCAAACCAAATAAAATCAAGAGCGACTCGGGCCGATACATTAATATTTTTACAGATAAATGAACTTTAAACATGCATTTGCATAGGGTGTGGCTCATGGCGAGAGCGATGTCAGAAACCAAGTCGCCTTGCTGTCATTGCAAGCGGCTCCAAGTGACGATTTTTCGCCTGCTAGCACGCCTGGTCGCTCCTAATTGTTTCAGACGTCGAACATTTGCCTTACTCATAATTTAAATTTTGCTTTTAATTTTTGGTTCGGCGCGACTCCAGAACACTTGTCTAAAATGGGTGTTAGAAACCTCCTAGAAAAAATACGGTACGTGGGAGAACCTCTATATCTAGGAAAATATCACCATTTTCGGGAGACACCATGGCAGCTTGACATTTAGAAGGTTGAATTATTTCAATTTCGTTTATCAAGGTAAGCCGAACGTGGGTGGCTACATTGCCACAGCCCGGAATGAAGCGGCGACCCTACGTAGTCGCTACGGAGTTGAAATCCACTGCATCGGGATAGGTGCAGAAGTAGACAGAAATGAACTGCAAGAGATTGCATCCCACCCTATTAGTGAACACCTATTCTTCATAAGGGACTATGGAGAAGTGGGCCTTCTCGCTCAGTCAATAACACAACAAGAACTAGGTAACCTTTTGTATTTTCTTTTGTATTTACTTGTTTGTTGTATATTGTTTCATTGTATGAGTTCTGGCCTTGGAGAGTAACGGATACCCCTTCTCCAGATAAATCATTACAAGACATCAATATGGGTTCAAAGATTTATTCCTTGATGACTGTGCATAAGCTAAACCTGTAAATAAAAAAAGTTGTAAAACGGTGGCACAAGTTGAAATGTGGCAATGAAATTCAGTAAGAAATGAACTGCCTTGCTTAACACGACAACTTGGAAGGAGTAAGATCCAATATTTCAATGACGCGCGTAAAGCAATGACAGAATTACACGCAGGGAGGGATAGACTATTAACTTGCAATGTATGTGAATAAGCAGCGTACATAAAGGATAGTCTGTGATATCACGAATGATTATACTGTGGCGGAATCACCAAGATACCCCCGGACTTCTCGTGTTCCCCCGCCCCTGGCAGTCACTCAGCGAGTGTGGTACTCCTTCAGGAAAACTCACACTGTCTGATAATGTACAACAAAATAACCATTTGCGGCACAATACAACAATTAATGCATTGCCAATAAAATGCCTGCTTTTTCGAGAAAAAGAATTGACAGTATGTGGTCCATACAGATTAAATGTGCACAAGGGGCTTCATGCCATAACGTCACAAGGATCCTGTGGGCTTCCAAATCCTTGTGAATTCAGCTGCTCACGATGCAAAAACTGAATGCTGGAAGTGTGTGGATGACATGACATTTTCAGAAAACTGTTTGGCTTCCCAAACAGGATCAATGCCAATTGATTGGGAAAAACTTCGACAGTGATCTGAGGAGAACCATTTGAAATGAAATCCTAGCAAATTTAAAGCCATTGAAGTCTGCTTTAGCAAAACCCCACCTGGGCGTACTGACTTATACGTATTGGTACTGACAGCATTCCATATGTTTCTGAAGCCAAAGTCCTGGGACTGTGGCTGCAAAGTGATCTTAAATGGTCCGTTCATATTCAGAAATTGCTAGAAAAGGCCAGTTAAAAAATGTTTTTGTTACGCGCTTTGAATAGATTTGGTTTTGGTCCCTCTGAACTTATCGAGTATCGGGTGTCCATGTCCAAATCTTTCAAGAACACACAAATGCTGGTTTTACGGCGGTTTTAGAGAACTCTCAGGTCACAGGATATAGTCAGCTGTACTACAGAGAGTTGAATTTCATATTCCAAAGTTGGACTGGATCTGAATTTCTTTCTGGTCAACACCTTTTAAAAGAAACTCGTGATTTTTGTTTTCCAGACTACTCGTCATTCGGATTCAACGCACGCGTAAACGACCGGCGTTCGCCAAGAATAACTGGCAGAGATTATGCTGCACAGGTGTTTAGTGTCAACATCNAAAAAAAAATGTTGTAAAACGGTGGCACAAGTTGAAATGTGGCAATGAAATTCAGTAAGAAATGAACTGCCTTGTTTAACACGACAACTTGGAAGGAGTAAGATCCAATATTTCAATGACGCGCGTAAAGCAATGACAGAATTACACGCAGGGAGGGATAGACTATTAACTTGCAATGTATGTGAATAAGCAGCGTACATAAAGGATAGTCTGTGATATCACGAATGATTATACTGTGGCGGAATCATCAAGATACCCCCGGACTTTTCGTGTTCCCCCGCCCCTGGCAGTCACTCAGCGAGTGTGGTACTCCTTCAGGAAAACCTACGACCGGAGGGGCAGGCCCGTTGGGCGGAGATGAACCGCCTAATGTACAGGGCTGACTAGACAGTGCCTCAACAACCTTCGCGGGAACAGAAAGGGCAACTACGGACAGGACAAGAAGAGACGGGACAAACGACTATAGGCCTATGAGCCTCTTTTATTTACACCTCAATCACACCAGACAATTTGATCCTCGAGGTAGTCACTATAATGTGGTACCCACAAAGTCTCTGCTAAGCGCTACCGTAGATAGCCTCCCACTACCCTCGCGCCTCCTAGTTTGGACCCTCCCGTAAGGTATCCTCCAGACAACAAGTATTCTTCCCCAGGGTACTCTACACCCCTAAGAACTGGAGCTAATCCCTAGTTCCCTCCCGGTATCCCACCGTGGTCCCACTCAGGTATGTACAGAGGCCCACGCTCGAATCCACGCAGCGTAACCTCCTATTACCTAGCACAGCCTGGCTTCAACACGTCCGTCCCGGACGAGAACCAAACACCGACTACCTGGCCACGCGCGCGAGCTTTCTTTTATTCGCATATAGCGCCCTCTGTAGCTGAACATGGGCAAGCCCCGCGCTCGCACTGTCTGATAATGTACAACAAAATAACCATTTGCGGCACAATACAACAATTAATGCATTGCCAATAAAATGCCTGCTTTTTCGAGAAAATAATTGACAGTATGTGGTCCATACAGATTAAATGTGCACAAGGGGCTTCATGGCATAACGTCACAAGGATCCTGTGGGCTTCCAAATCCTTGTGAATTCAGCTGCTCACGATGCAAAAACTGAATGCTGGAAGTATGTAGATGACATGACATTTTCAGAAAATTGTTTGGCTTCCCAAATAGGATCAATGCCAATTGATTTGGAAAAACTTCGACAGTGATCTGAGGAGATTCATTTGAAATGAAATCCTAGCAAATTTAAAGCCATTGAAGTCTGCTTCAGCAAAACCCCACCTGGGCGTACTGACTTACGTATTAGTACTGACAGCATTCCATATGCTTCTGAAGCTAAATTCCTGGGACTGTGGCTGCAAAGTGATCTTAAATGGTCCGTTCATATTCAGAAATTGCTAGAAAAGGCCAATAAAAATGTTTTTGTTACGCGCTTTGAAGAGATTTGGTTTTGGTCCCTCTGAACTTAGCACTGTGTACACTGGTTATATAAGACCTGTTCTTCAATATGCAGATGTCATTTGGCACTCGAGTTTCACCCGTATACGTTGTATCTTCTGGTGACAATCCTAAAATCTGTAATTTTGAAACCCTAGAAGATAGGAGACTTGCCCATTGTACTTAATTCGCTCAAACAGTTAGTAACAACAGTCGCACATGTTCTTTGTTACCGTCAACAAGATTTGAACAACACAGAAGGCAGCTGAGAAATAGTCAGAAGCTCTCACGAATTCGCTGTAGAACCACGAGATTCAAGAAGAGTCCTATACCCTTCTTTATTGATGTTTTTTAAAACAGGTAAAACGCAGCGTTATTTTGAGTCCCTGGCTATTAGTTGTGAAGTTGACATCGGTCCATTGTCATGTGTATTTTTTTTTTTTGAAAATTGGTGTTAGTTTCTACTTTTTAACGTGTAACATACATGTAATTTGGCCGTCAGGCCACGAGCTGTATGCAAAACAATAAAACCTAAAAACCTGAACCCTGACGTCTTTATCATGCTGAAAACGTACAGAACCGTTGTCCCCACAGGTATAAGGCTAGGCTGCTAAAGCTGAGTGCCGTCAAAGGTACACTTTATCCTAGAGAGTAAATGACCAATTAGCAGTTAGAAAAATAATTGAAGTTCGCTTATGTACAAATATTGTATAAAGGGAAAGACACGTGATTTAAAGCCAGGGTGTTTTTCAAACTAGGCCTACATGTAAGTAGACCCTGTGCATGAAAATTCACAAAAAGATGTGTAGGCAAAATCCCCCACCGCCTTGTGCACAAACAGTATATAGAGGCTAAAGTTTCTAGCACCAAACTTTTGATCCAAACAATTTCATACTGAAACATAATGAAAAATACTCATAAGTCATAGCATGGCTACATACATCATATCAATACAAGCAGAGTAAAAACGAACATGGCTGCCCCTGTGAGTTAAGAAAAGACAAACTTATAATTATGGGTACCGATTCAATGTTGTTTACACCTAAAACCAAGCCTGATTACCACATTATAAAGGAAACTCACCGGCAGTTATCATGGATATGACCCTCCAGTAAAACTGCAAAGAATTCCACCCAAAATAGGAAAATTAACAACTAGAGTAAATTGAAAACCCATCTGTCCCCGTCGGCTGCCGTCTGGCGCTCAAACCTGGCAAATTTCTTGAGGGCGATCTTCATTCTTATGGGCTGCGCACAAAGGGGACACTGACAAATAAAACTGCGGTCAGCATAGCATGTCAAAACACACCTACATGCACACGTATTTCTAATATGAAGACTTGGAAAGGTGAATTGCATAAGCTTACAAATAAAACAATTTACTGGTATATCTGCTCAGAACAGGTAAGAGAAGAAGTGCTTTTCACATGAAAATGGTGGTCCATTGCCAGTGGGAACTCACCGCTTGTATGGGCAGGTTAATTATGCGAACTTACGTCCCTCCTTTGCCAGAAAGGGTGAATTTCGACTCGTTGAAAATACAGCTCGTCTTGGAAAGTCTTGATAGATGCATTGTCAGGTATCGAGTGTCCATGTCCAAATCTTTCAAGAACACATAAATGCTGGTTTTACGGTGGTTTTACAGAACTCTCAGGTCACAGGATATAGTCAGCTGTACTACGGAGAGTTGAATTTCATATTCCAAAGTTGGACTGGATCTGAATTTCTTTCTGGTCAACACCTTTTAAAAGAAACTCGTGATTTTTTTTTCCAGACTACTCGTCATGCGGATTCAACACACGCGTAAACGACCGGCGTTCGCCAAGAATAACTGGCGGAGATTATGCTGCACAGGTGTTTAGTGTCAACACC